TCGGTGCCCGTGTCGGCTTTAGCGTGAGCCAGGGCAGCGCCGGAGGAGCCGGGGAGAGGCTGCTTGGGAAAGCAGCTGGTCTGTGCGACAGGGCGGGGGACGTCCGGCGGGTCGCCCCGCGCAGGCTTCTCTTGGCCCGCTGCCTTGCCGCCCGCCAAAGCCAGCGGGTTTCGGTCTTACGGGGAGCTTTGAGTCATTTGCCTTCTGTGTATGTCTTCTGTGGAAAGTGGTGCTGGGCTGAAACTACTAAGTAAGAAGGTTCTGGGAGGTTTTAGGGAGCAGACAAATATGTCATCAGAGGCCTAGGAAGCTGTGTAACTTTTGCCCGCACCAAGGCTGATGTGAAATGCAGATGCCCCAGAAATGTTTTCACAAATTAAAATGATGTTTTGTGGAAATTTTTAAATGACGGTTTCAAGTAGTGCTAGACATGGCAATGCTCAAATTTTGAAGTGAGGTTGACTTTAGTTTTCGCGTCTCTGCTGGGAAAAATGCTAAGAAGAAACTATGTAATTAGTGACAAGTAGATGGCATTAGAAAGATTTTTATTTAAGCACATTTTGTTTAATACAAGTATCAAGCTGAGTTTAAAAATGAAACAATAAAGGGACATAGTGTGCGAGAACATCTCAGAAATGTACTTGTGCTATGAAAATTTAATTTGGGTTGCAGTTGACAGTATGCAGTGAGTCAGTATTAAGCTCACATCGCAAAGTAATGCTAGAGGCACTGCTGGTGAGGCTGTTGTCTACGGAATAATGTTTTCATAAAAGCAAGACAAAAAAGTAATAGAGTATGTTAAATATTCTGGTCGCTTGCAGTTGCATACTCTAGCCTTCTGTGCATCTCTGGACATGAAGCTTGGGGTGTTTAGGTAGACTGCGACAATAGATGATTGTACGTGGCTATATGATTTCTATTATGTGCTTATTATTACTTTATTAATTAATATCTCTGATGTAAAATGATTGTGCAAAGTCGTAGTAGTCATTAGAATAACAACTTCTGCTCTTACACTGAATGGAACCTTTATTTCTACTTTTGGATGAAGGCTACTATGCAAATGAGATTTAAATGTGATTAACAATTAGAAATGTTGAATGTAAATAACTAAAATGCTTATTTAGTTTCTTAGTGATATATATATTTTTTTTTCTTTACTTTTCGGTACCCCAAGTGTGACCAAAAAAAAAAATGATTCGTTGTCTGCTGTACGAAACATCTTAAATATTCCATTTGCCGTTTGGTCACCTGGCTTCAACTACAATGGTAAGTTATGATTCAAATAATATATTTTCAGATCTCTTTTTCTCTGCTCTTCTAGCTGTGTGGATGATGAGGAGGGAAAAGCTTATTAATATTCATCATCAGCTTAGGTATTTGATTTTACTTAGCACTCCTGAGTTTCCATCATTCTTTTTTTCAGTGATGTCTTCCTTTGTAGCTTGTGTGTTCTACTCCTAAAGACTTAGTTATTGTCCAGTGCATTATAGGAATCACCATGTAAAGCTAGTGGTGTGTTTTCAGTCGTGGCTGGTATTAGACAATTAATCATGAAGTATAAACCCTACCTGCACTTATGTTTTTAGTATTCTTCTGTTCACAGGCGATATGGCTGTGGATTTTTCCCTAATGTCAAGCAATCAGTGAATAGAATATTTGAAATCATGGGATTATCCTGTATGCTTATACAGAACACGTAAATGTTTGATATATTCATATAAACACCTAAACACTTCAAAATGTAAACGTTCTGTAGTATTAGGTTCTAATGAATAATAGCACGCTATCAGTGTATGCTTTTTCTCTCAAGAACAGGTAAGAAATTCTTTAGTAGAAATACTGTGGGTGAAAGATTATAAGCCTATGTAAGTATTTTCCTGTATATTTCTTCCTTTTTTGTTTAGTATGCTTCTCTCCCCTGAATTCTGTTCTAAAGTATGAAATAACATGCGTAATCTATACTGGAGGTAGCTCATATGCCTGCTCTTTGAGGTTTGAATAAAGATATTTTCTTTTATGAAGAGCTGAGAGGGATGGATGTAAACTGAAGAAACAGAAAGATATATGTAAGGAGAAATACCTGTTCAAGAGTTTCTAAGCATTACTAGGGAGCGGAAGATTCTCCAAAATGTTTCTCTATACCATTTCAGTAGCACAGCCTATTTAAAAAGTTCTGGTTGTCAGGATTATATATTAGTTATTAAGTGACATCTTTTTTTTACTTTTGTTAGAGATGATCACATGTGTATTCCTTAGGACTTTGTCCATCTGCCATTGAAGTTAATGCATTGCTTCTCATTAATTTACCTGGAGCTGAATCAAGCCCTAAGCATTCTCCTGCAATACTTCAGTTCTTAGTATCTTACAAGAAAAACTAAAAGACTTGCTCTCACCTATTTTGTGTCAGTAGGACAGCAGGTACAACTGCATAGCTAATTGAATTGTGGAACTGTGCCATATGAAAAACCAGCTCAGCTAAACCAGCTTCTGTGGGTGTTTTGTGGACTGCTATCAGTAATCCGGTTCATTGAGCAGCTGCACAAAGTTATTCCCGCGCAAAGTAAGCGGCAGAGGACAAATACAAGGAGCCAAAGGACACTGCTTTTTTGGCAGCAGTGCTTGCTTGTAGTAGACTTGAAGTATTTGTCACGCTTTAGTCCAGGAACTCATTGTTCTTATCTGTGAAGTTGTTTTCTCTTCTTGAAATACATCTGTAATCATCTGCAGGTGCACTGAAGTGATCAGACATCCCAGAGAAGTTAAATCAATTGAAATAAATGCTATCAAATATACCATGGGATATAGAGAAGCTTTTGCAAGGATTTCAGTGTGTTGTCGTAGGGTCGAGCATACTTCTTAGCCTGCCTTGGAGGAAATCTGGAGTGGAAGCTGCACGAATTTCTCAGCCACCTAATAATATATTATTAGAAAGTCTTCCCAAGGAACATTGTATCGCGCAGAGAAGTGACTTTCTGAGTCTGGGATCTTTATTTCCGTTGTATAGGAAAAATAACCATTCTAATACTTTGGCATCAGTGTTTAAACATTTAATGTTTTATTCCTGGACTACGATTCAAGAATACTTTGTCCATTACTGCTGTCTTTTTTTCATACTCGTGCTTGCCTACTCTTGGTGTTGTATTTCTTAATCTGTAGCCAGATTAAGAAAAGGGAAAGTTTTCTACTTGTTGCTCATAACTTTTTTGATTAACGTTTGTCAATACCTTTATTAGGCATTGGTTCTATTCCTGCTTTTAGTTCTAATTGCCTGTCATTGTTTTAACACCTCATAATTTGGTCGAGATTTTGGAAGCGTAGATGCTTAGTAGTGGGATTAATGACCATTAACGTGCCTACGTGAAGTTTCAGCTGCCAAGTTTAGTGTGTGCCAAACAATGTTTGACTACATCTTCAAAAAATTATTTAATATCAATAGAATTTAGTACAAGGTTATATAATTAGTTAACGTACTTTCTAAGAAAGCTGTTTATAATTCTTGCAGCAACAAGCCTTAGAACTGGCATTGGATCGTGCAGAGGTAAGGAGTAGCTAAGTTGTTTGCACATAATGTATTGGGCTCATACTTAAATATTTCAGTTTTGTATTTCTTGTGAAACGTGCAGGGGGGCACGTGTGTGTGCATACATGTATGTGTATATGTATACGTATATATGTGTGTGTGTGTGTCTGTCTATATATATACATATATATATAAAAGCACAAATACCTGTAACACTGGCTTTGCAAAGTTTTTGCTAATATTGCTAGGCCAGGCATTTGGTTTTTTCCAAATGTATTGAGAACATCAGGTGCGCTGATGATAAAGCGTGCAAGATTTTGGTTTTCTTGAAAAACACACCAGCTCTATGTGCCATGAAATAATGGCACTGTATATGCCAGCTATATAGCGATAATTATCTCTAAAACCAGAGATAGCAGACAGACATGTATGGCAGAATCTTGTTTGTGATGTTAAGGGTAGCCCAGTTAGGACAAAGAGGCAGATGCTTTTATGTTCAGGTTCTTTTATGCTGCCATGTGATATAATGCTTACCTTGATCACTTTTATGGGAAATACATATTTCTGGGGAGGACCTATCTTCCCTGAAATTCTAAACTAAAGTGTTAATAGAAATACTCTAGAGAAACATTTAGAGAAGTTTGTTAAAACATAACCTATTTTTAGCTGTATAGTATTGTGAGTAGCACTTCTTTTTAATTAAAATGTGTAATGTACATAAGTTGTTTTTATAATACACATCTGTAAATTAGAGAAGCACAGTACTGATGCAAGAGATGGGGGGAAAAAAAACCTTCAACTTGATTATCCTGATGAGTACTTGATACGTAAATACTGTTGAGCCTGTACACTTAAATTTGACTTTATTGACTTAAATTTGACCTAGATTTGACTGTAACATGTTAACTTCAGTAAAAAAGGTGTCTGTAAATACTTACTGCTATAATTACAAAATGTAAGTATAGAATCGAGACTTTGGATGCAGCTAATTCCTTAGCCATGAAGCGCTATATTTCACAGCTGAAATGAGAAATGCTTCCTTGTTGATGAATATAACATACAGTAGATCACATTTAGTACATTTTTTATGGTCATTTACCATAACTGTGTAAATTATCGGACATTGTTCTGTGTATACAGTAAATAATGATCTAAAACTGCTTGATAGCAGAAATTAAATTTCTTTTTAATGTATTATTTTTTGCTTTACCTGTCTTTTCCAGTATATCATTGAAAGTGCCCGTCAGAGACCTCCCAAGCGAAAATATTTATCCAGTGGAAGGTAATAATGTTTCAGTATTTAGTTTTTGATTGTGTTTCTTTAATTTATTTTTTTTTTACATTAAACTTTTTTAATTACAGAAAATCTGTATTTCAAAAACTCTATGATTTGTATATAGAAGAATGTGAAAAAGAGCCTGAGATAAAGGTAAGTGGAAATTGCTGAGCAGTTTTTCATTGCTGCTTGAACAGGCACACGCAGACATTTTTTTTACATCACTGCCATTCCATTTAAAAAAAAAAAAAAAAAAAAGAGCACACACCCCCACCCACACACACACACACCTGGTGACTCCAGTAGTTACCTAAGGCTAGAATTACAATAGAAAAGATTAATGACTTCCGTGGACTAAACTTACTGTGTAATGTAATAGCATTGACTCAGTTCAATCTGAAGTGAAAACAGGGAGGTAAGAGCACTGATTTACTACCTGGTAACCCTAAATCTGTTTTTAAAGGCAATAAAATGAAAGAGAAACAGATGACTGTGAAGATTGTGCTTTGGTATTCTTGAGCTGCTTTTCTATATGTGAAATATCAAGGAATTAGGAAGAAACAGTCTAGAATGGAGATACATATATATATATAACAAATTTAATTTAATACAGACAGGCAGTGTTATTAAAATAACTGAATAGTAAATAGCAGGAAAAACACTGGTGTGAGTGACCTGTCCATTCTGTCTTAATCCTCCTTCGCTGAAGGCAGTTGGGAGCAAGTTTGGGACCAGTGTCAGTGCCACCTGCATCGTTGTCAGTCTCAGTTTCTGAATTTGCATGCTTAGCTTGGCTGCCATGGAAGAAATACGTGAAAAGTCTTTTAGAATCTGTGCTCTGTTGTAAATTCACATTGATTTCTGGGATAATTGATGAGACGTTGAGACGTTCTGTTAATATGAGAAAAGAAGGCCAGCCAGGCTTAGCAACAGTAAATCTAAGGCTTAAAAGCCAAAAGCTACCTTGCTAAACTGTGAGCGTAAAAATGGACTGAGAAGGACGAGCTCTGGAATCTATTGCATTGCTGGTTCCCACAGTAAAATAAAAACCCATGAGATGTTACGGTTGTTGAGCACCATTAACACTTTTGGTGAGTCTGATTTAGTTGGTATTAATTAGCATATGATTGCTGTCTCACAAATGCAAATGAGACTTTAATCTTTTCACCTCTGTTTTGCTTAAAACATCAATAGTGAATGGGTAACAAGATGTTTGAACAGCAGGGAGAAGACTGGGCTTATGGGACTGGAATCTGGAAGAAGTACAATACTACTAGTTGTTGCTAAATCAGAAGACGCTTGACAAACTTATGTTTACCCAACAAAATTGGTAGCGAAGACAGGTTTTAAAAATGACATTGTTTTAAGGGCGAAGAGGATTATTACTGATTTTAGATTTGAGTAAAAACTTTGAGGTTCCTATTTAAGAATTGGAAGCTTATTATGATAGCAAACTTATATTTAGAGCCTTTATTGACTAAAATGAAATGTGGGTAGTTAATAGATACCTTAGTCATATGTCAAGGTTATTCATTATTGAGAAATGAGAGGCATAAAAATTGAGAAGCAGAGGTTGGAAGATGATGCTATTGTGGAACTTCATCCAGGAGCCTAGGACTGCTTATTTGTCTCTTAATTTTCAGGATAAACCTGAAGAGGGAAGTAGTATTCTGACTACAGTTTGGCCAATAAGTTGAATGTAGCTGAACAGTTTTGATATACAGAAGTGTGTTTGAGTTTCTATTTCAGCACTACGGTATATTGATGGTACATGTTGTACGTATATCAACTCAGAAGCAGTTTTCAATAACAACAGAATCCTAGATACTTGAGTGTACTTTCTCATATTGTTTTTCAGTCCTGACTTTCTCCCTCTACCTTAGCGCTTTGTAATACCGCATCTCTCCCACGTTCTTGTTTCCTGCATCTTACTCGGTCACTCATATTCTTTTTGATCTTGATGTTCATAGGCAAGACTGGATTTTCCATGTTAATAATGAATTAGTCCTTTATGAATTAATCTTCTTGCATTACTCCAGCATGCCTGGGCTTCTTTTCTTGAAGAAAAAAAATTTTTTTTTTCTTCTCTCTCAGAATCTCTTCTGTCTGTGTGTATGCACACTAAAAGGAGAACTAACTATGCTGTGGTGATTCTCTAGGGCAGTTTTTTTCATCTGGACGCTAGTGTGCAGGGTTTGTGCCTAAATGTAGGAAGAAATATAGAACAGAACAATAATTTTGAAAGCAGTCTTAAAAATGAATGTGGAAACACACTTGTTCTGCGGGCTGAAAGATCTAGACTAGGCGGGTAGATGTGAGGAGCTCTAGTAATTAAAAAAAAAAAAAATTATCAATCACCTATACGCAGTAGTTGGTTGACTTCTAACTACCGCATGTGGTAGCATCAGTGTGCAAGCATGAAAATATTTCATAGTAATGAAAGTTTCAGAACACTGTTAATGAAAGTCACTGAAATTCAATAGTTTGAATTCCATGTTGGACTATGCATAAATAATAAAGCGTGTATCTGCTACTTTGCTGTAAAAATGCTGGTAGCCGTGAAAGATGAGTAATGATGATACATGAGTAAACAATACCAGATAACAGTAGTCGGAGGGGAGAGGTTGTCCTTGATTAGTCTCTGATTGTGATAAATGATACGCAGACTTAGATACGTTTGGGAAATTTTGTAAAACATCATCTTCCGTGCATCTTTCTCTAGCTGAAGAAAATATAAATAACTTGCATGTGTAAGACGAGGAAATGACTGTAAGATGCACTTCAAAATAAACTAACAGACTTTCAGACAACAGTTGCTTAAATTCAGTTTAGGAATTATGAAACTGAAAAGGCTTTTTTTAACCTCCATTACAGCGAGTGCATGGCTCTTGTGCCTTACAAGGCACATTAATACTTATCTCTTTTGGAATGGCAGCCTATGGATTGATATGTTAAGTTACATGTTAGTGCACGCATACTCAGCTCTAAGTTGCAGTCTTCTCTCAGGATCTGATTGAGGTTCAGCTAGGTCACTAACATCCTTAGGCTTCAGTTTATACCCTGTATTTTGTCACCAAAAAAATGATGTCTCCTCAAGTTGTATGAATTGTTTTTCTTTCAGTCAATGCATAAGAAATTCTGTTTTGCTCTTTCTGCTTTCTGAAAGAAAAATGCTTAGAAGTGATCATGCATTTAATCTGTAAGTAGCTGATAGCTGTGTTAAGGGAAGATCGAATCATGATATCTTTGACACTATTGACGAGACTATGCGGAGAGTAAGAAATAAATTCTTCTTGGTATGAAGAAACCTTACAACGTGAGCTTTAAAAATGTGAATTCATCTGAAATATTAAAATGAAAGTTTTTTTATCTTGATAATCTGCAAAGTGTAGAGAAATGATAAATAATGCCTAGTTATTTCATTTATGCTTAATGGATAATTGATATCTGACTTACAATATGAAGAGAGCAAAAAACCAAGTAAATCTTACGCTAGTTAGATCAGAAGTTGATCGCATATAAGCAATCATATTTAATCTTCCTTCATGTACAGTACTAGCCTTATAACTTCCCTTGTTAATTCCTGCATTGGGCCTGTTGACTTGTTTCATAGTTAGCTGTACTGCTGTTATATCTTGGGCAGTCTGTGAGTAATGCCATCAGGGTGGGATATTTGATAGAAATCTCCTCCCTCCAAAAAAAAAAAAAAAAAAAAAGATTTCTGTATATGGATTACTTTTAACTATTTTAGGCACTGTAGACTTTAAAGCAACCTGAACTACATTCCTGTGGAAGTGATATTCAATTCCCCCGCCTATTGCCCTGCTCTATATCTGAAAAAACAGCTATGCCATTTGGGGAAGTGTATCCTTAAAGTGATTCTGAACTGTTCACCCTGAAGGAAATATTCTGAAGTACTTGGAGTGTAAGATTTGTGATCTCGCTTTGAATAGATCTTGGGCTCTCAAAATTCTTCCTTAATTTACTTACAGAAGACGACACTGAATAAGACATCTGCTCCCTGAAAATAGGAAATGCTGTGCACCTTTTTTTTTTTTTTTTTAAAGATCAAAAACCTGAGCCTCTTTCTGTGATTTTTTTTGAAAATAATAGAATAAGACAGTATTTTTTGCTTATTTTAGAACAAGATATGTACAGTGAAATCTATTAGCCCTTAAGGTTTTGAGAAAATGATTGTACCAAAGTTGCAATGGCTGTTAAATACATTTTACTTTAAACTGAAAACTCCGTGCCTTAGAAATAACATGATTGATCTGAGTCTGATATGACATAGTAAAACCTAAATTCTATATTTTCTAATAACTGAAAATCAGAGAAGCTGTAAACTTATGCAGATTGTATATTGCTGAACACAGAAGTTACTTGATTGTTGAGCCCTGGAGAGACTAAAAGAAGTGATATCCAGTCTGTTCTTGTACCTTCTATGGATTCGTGAAATGGTGCTGGTGTTAATGAAATATGTCCGCAGTCAGGGAGAACCTGGGGTGTTTCTTGTACTTGCACTTCACAAAGATATAATAAGCTGGAAGACCTTTTTTAATGGAAATGGTCTGCTTATGTTTTTTTATGTTTTTGACTTTTTTTTTTAATCATAAAGGTGAGTGGGGAAAATCCATTTAAAATGCTGCAGTGGGGGGACAAGAGGAGCAATGATAATCATAAACCATAGTTTTATTTGTGTAACCTGTGCACCATCTGAGGATAAGGTATTAAAGTCACGTTTCCCTTATAGCCAAGGATAGAGGAATTACAAGCATAGTATGAAATAACTACTTCAGTTCTGTTAAAGGGAATGGTCGATATCATTTCTTCAGAGGGACAAATCAGAAGTCAATGCGAGAGAAAGCAAGCATCCGCACCTTCCCTGTGCTACCTCCCAACCATCATGCAGTCACTGTAGCGTGTGCATGTAGGGAGGGAGGAGTGCTGTCTTTCTGTGGATGAAGTCAGGGAAGGTCAGGAACATCAACCAGCAGAGCAAAACAACTGACTGGTTGCTTGGTATCTGAACTCTTGCAAAGTATACTGTGATGAATTCCTAGGAAATATAACATGCCCCAGTGAACCCCTCAATCTTAAAAAGAAGTTTCTAGACACAGCTGACGTAATGCTTAGTATCAGCTCTGAGTGAGTGCCTGCAGTAGCCAGCTTAAAGAAGAACGCTGATTTTGTGGTTATAAATTTTTTTGTGCTTATTGAAGCATGACTCTCTTCTGCATTTATTGAAGTCCTACACTTAAAACAGTAATGTTTACTCCGATTTCTTGGAGAGGCGTTACATTTAAAATAGGTTTACATCTTAGCCGTTTCTATTCAGAATGAACAGTATGAATGCAGAGTCAGAAACATGCGATCGTCTGCTCCTCTTTCCCCTCCCTGACTTTCCCTTTTCCCCCTACCCCAAAAAAGTGGGGGGAGGGAGCAAAAACCTCCCAAGCCGTACTGGCCACCCGTTACCAAGCAAAAATAAATACAAAATAAAATCCTAAGATGTTACTTATTGAATAAATTCAAATTGGACTAGTGTGATTAACGGAATTAAATTATATTTACAAATGAGTTACCGTTATATATGTTACTTATCAGTTGTCATGAGCAGCAGCCTTCTGTAAAAATAAATCTCTCATCACTATTTCTTGTACGCATGGACAAATTTCTGGAAAAAGGTGTATTTTTTATTTAGAAGTACTCGAAGTGATTATTAGTTGATAGCGATTATTCGGTGCTTGTATTTAGCATGGAATAATGCCCTTAATTGACTGATCAGTTTTCTTCAGCTCGTGAGACTAGTAAAGCTGGATTAGAAATGTCAATGTTACGATTAGTAACTTCCAGAAACAGTATTAATTCTATTCTAACGATAGAGAGGAATAGAGTTGTTTTTGATTGTTTTATAGGTGTTTCTGAGTAGTCCAAATTAATATGCAAGTGTTTTGAAATCTACATATTTGAGATTAAATTCCTGTTTACTTTTCTTTCATGATATAATGCTTATTTTTTCAAAATCGAGTCTTGGCAGAATTCCCACATTCTTTTCTGCCTTCCTAAGTAAAATCCTATGTTAAGTGAATGGGGAATTGTAGTGGGAAAAGTATTAACTATCCAACCCTGAAAACAGTTCTTTTACATCAACAGAAGACCGATGTTTGTTGACTAATCCCCTTAGAGAGAGCTTTAGACCAACCATGGCAAACTTTAACCGTTCCCTCGCTGTCACTTACTGCTCCAGTGTTTCTCTTGCATGGGTGGGAAGAGCATTTGCAGTGTGTTATGCTTCCTTTGAAATCTTCTTTGCTAGGAAATGTTAAGAGTAAATTATGCTAGAGTAATTGAGTGCTGACTTTGCTTTTAAATGGCAATGACTGTGCTCCTGGGTATTTCACAGTGTGTCTAAGTGAAGGCTCTGTAGCTGTTCCTCAGCTCAGTGATGTGACTGGAAATTGAAGCAGTGTACGTGCAGTCTCCTGTTTTATAGTAGATGTCCACAGGATTAGTGGGAGTCTTAATTGAAGAAGGTTTTACAGAACAGGCTGCGTCTCCAGAGCCATATGTGAAGATTGGACTGTATTTACCTTTATTGTTGCCAGAACGTGTTTTCCTCCTTTCTCTCCCACTCCTCCAGGTCTTTCCTTTTGAATTCCCTGGAATTTCTATGCTGTTTCATATTTCTGAGTTAGTTTTCATGTTTTTTCTGAGCCGTAAAAGGTAGCATGATGTTGTTGCCATCATTCCTAATGCGTGGGAAAGAGTTAGCTCTTGGCAACGGAACCAAAACTAGTTAAGAAATAGAAGATTTTTCTCCTTTGGTTCTGCGTACCTTTTAAAACTAAACTGACGTTCTTTCTTTTCTGTTTCGTTTTGGAGAGGGAGGCCTTTTTCTTTTGGGATCCACCCCCTAGGAGAAGTGATTCTGCCCTGTGTCCTACTAACATTTCTGTTCTTATTTGTTCAAAAAGACAGAGATAGTGCACTACTATTTAGTGAGTGTGTGTGAAATGTGCCTAACTACTCTTGGGCACACTGACTAGTGCACAAAGGATACCCTCCAATGAATAGATCCACCCAGTCCCGGCGTTCAGTGATGAAGTCAAGTCTCCAACCAGAAGGTGTAAAGGTTATCTGAAGTTTAGAAAACATTGTTTTTCTTGTGAAGAGGGCTTTAAAAATGTTTAAAATTGCCATAATTGCATGGCATGTTGGAAACATTCATTCATTTTAAAAATCTATTATTTATGGAAAAGATCTTTCTTAATCTTCTTGATAATCTCTGCAGCTCCAGGATCAGATTTCAACAAATACAGACAAGGCAGTGCAATTAAGGAGGCTTCCAAATGCTACATTTTAATCCTAGAAGGAAATATTTCCTTCTTTTAGAAATATGAAAAGTATTAATTATTTTTTTTTGTTGTTGTTCTTAACATTGTATAATGGTATAAATGATCCACAAATAAATGACACAAATAATGTACACAGTAGATCTCTAACATTGTGTCATAGGGTCATTCTTATCAGTTGTATTGTCTATGGACCTATAATTAATGAGGGTTTTTTTTTAATTGAGGTAAGTGATTTTCCAAAAAACAATCTTGTGTGTGTAAGTATGCGTAAACGTTAATGCATGTACTGTGTTGAACAGAGCCAAATTAAATTTAAGTGGGTCTGTTTAGATATATGCTTTAACATTAATCTAAATAGCATTCAGGTTCTGATGATTGTTTTATTGCTAATAATTACTTGATAGTATTATGTTCATGAGCAATGTTTACTTTTAAAGCAGAAGCTGAGGCGAAATGTGAATTTACTTGAGAAGCTGGTTATGCAGGAGACACTGTCATGTCTGGTAGTGAACCTCTATCCAGGAAATGAGGGTTATTCACTGATGCTCAGGGGAAAAAATGGTTCAGGTAACATTTCTGCTATTTAATTTTTTAAAATATTCAGAGTTCTCTATATACTGTTAAACGCGTTGTAGTTGCTTGCATTCAACTGGCTTGCATTTGTTTTGCTTCCAACATGATCACCTGTACAAATTGGTACTTGAATTAAAAATTTGCATAATGCTGTAAGGTGCTTGTGGATGGGCTCTGTAGCACAGCATCAGTTAGTAGGTATGAGTCGTCTTGATAACCGTCCCCTACATGTTCTGATGTGTGCTTATCCTGGGGAAAGCTTTTTATACAGTCTGTCTGTATAGCCTGTCCTCTCTCTAGTCTGCCCCAGCTTGTTGGTTTTGAGTTTTTCTGTTTCTGTTTTCCTTTCCCCAGTATTATTTATCTTAGCAAGTCCCTGTTACTCCAAGAAACCCATCCAAACCCCGTTTTTGTTCAGTATTGCTCAACCACTTCCGCTCTCTTATTTCTCCTCAGCTTCCCAGCAGTTTCCTTTTTTTTTCCAGGCTTCCTTACCTGAGTTTCTCTCACTTCAGGTTCCCTCTCTCAGACATGTTTCTTCTCCCGCTGACTCCTATATCTAGGTCTAACTGAAAGCATCTACGTTCCAGTTTGGTTGCATCTTCGTGCCACCTGATACTCTGTGACATGCCATATGAGCATAAAGTAAATCATTTGGGAGCAAAACTTTGGTCCTGTTGATCCTATAAAGGAGTGTGTTGCCTTTTAGCCTAGTAAGACCTAAATCAAGCCCTGGAACCGTAAACATGAAAATGAATGCTGTGCAAAAAAATTGACAGTATGGATTAGTTTCCACTAGCCCTGGCCTGTGGCAAGCCTATGTGGCGAGTTTGTTTTAAATTTCATCTTGTTCAAGTTTGAACTGAAAGGCAAAAGAAAAGCAGTATATTTTGTTTAAATTCAGATTCTGAGACCATTCGGCTGCCTTATGAAGAAGGAGAACTGCTTGAATATTTGGATGCAGAGGAGCTACCACCTATTCTGGTTGATCTTCTGGAAAAATCTCAGGTGTGAAAGTTTTATTTTTGAGAAGAAGTTGTGTTTTGTACTCAGATAGACTTTGATCTTGGAATGCTTTTTTTGGACGTTTCCAACACACGACACAGAAAGTTTGTGCATTTGGGCCATATTATTTTATGCACAAAACAAATATTTTATTGATATCCGTAACAAATAATTCATAAGTATTGGAGAGTAAGGATAGAAGAGACATTGCTATCGTTTACACTGTTAGACCACTGGACTTCTGTGCTCTTGCGAAATGTTCTTTGTTCTTTCTTGCTTCGAAATATTTGACGTGAATTTCTTAAAATTACATTTCTGATATATGAAAACACACTGTCTGAAAGGTATGTAGTAGAGACCACTAGTCTTGATAAAGATCGTGAATATTTTTAAGCATAGTATCAATGAATAAGCAGCAAGGGCTTTATGCCGTCCCTTCTATGCAGAAGCAACTTTACAATTTGCGCTGACTTAGCAGAAATTGCACTAACTAGCTGAGGCTGAATTTTTCTGAAGTGTGTTCTGTTTATAAACCTTATTTACAGAGCAAATATGTGCATTCACGATCAGTTACAATTGCATGTAACCTTTTTGCAATAGTAACAAAGGTCAAAATGGTCTCGGGCATCAATCCTGTTAGTTGTGTTTAGAACAAACACATAACAAACTCTTTTTTTTGGAGAGGAGAGATGAGACAAGTTGGTAAGTATGCAGGTATTCACACTTCTTTGTTTGTTTGTTTCAACTAGGTTAACATTTTTCATTGTGGATGTGTCATAGCAGAAATACGTGACTATAGGCAGTCTGGTAACATGAAATCTCCAACGTACCAAAGCAAGCACATTCTTTTGCGTCCTACAATGCAGGTAAGAAGTGCCTCAAGTCATTTTTCACTGTTGCAGTAACTCCCAGATTAGATACAAACTATTACTTAAGGTATTATTTTACTGAAAGATAACTACCACTCTGTCTTTTCCCTCAGACTTTAATTTGTGATGTGCATTCTATAACAAGTGACAACCACAAATGGACACAGGTGAGTCACTAGTTACTTTTAAGCCTTACAGTGATGTAGTAAATGTACTTAATTATTTTAATAAAAGCGAATAAGCAGAAACTGGTGATATTTTGGATGAAAACTGTCAGATTGATGTGCGTAGTGGTACATGGTAGGAAAACAAGAGATAACAGACCTGAGCTGAAATGAGAGGCTCACACTCACAGTTTTCACTGTCTGGTGAAAATGTGTTTCACCATGAGGACAGTCAAGCAGTGGAACAGGTTGCCCAGAGAGGTTCATCCAGAGGTTGTCCAGAACCACTCCATCCTTGGTGGTTTTCAAGACCTGATGCCCTGAGCAGTCTGGGCTGTCCTCAAAGCTGACCATGCTTTGAGCAGGAGGTTGGACTACAGACCTCTTGAGGCACCCTCCAAACTAAATTATCTTACAGTCCTGTGTCCCATGCTCCAGGGATCTGCTATATAGACTTACTAGCAGCGTCTTCCTACATGGTGCCACAGAAAACAATAGGAGTTGTTAAAAGTTCTGTCATGCAGAATGACAGAGTGAGTCTAATGAGTCTAAGTGAGTCTAATGAATCTACCCTACTTCATTCATCTTCAACATACAGTCTCAGGGTGGTACCTGGAATCTAATGACACTATTGCTCCTATAGCAGCACTTACCTAATCATGTTGTTACAGCAGAGACTATCATTAATGATTAGGATCGTGCAGTTAGTTAAATGCTGAAGAGCATGCTACTCTCAAAATGCCTGTTGGTATTTCAGAGACATAATCATGCTCAAATCCATTTCAAATTGTAACCAGAAGTCCCATGTAGATCATCTTTATGGTGTTGATTACCAATCCCTCAAGAAAAATCCCTGACAGGCAATTGATTTCACTGCCACTGCTACTCTATAAAATCTACTCTTCAGTAGGATCCCTTCTGTGATTAGAAACCTCACCCACAGCTCTGTAACTCTCATTAATGGACAGTGGTACTTAATAACTGTTTAGCATTTTTTTGTTGTTGTTGACTGTTCACAGCAATCTTTTCAGTTTTCTGCAAGATAGTGTGTATGTGCATAGGTTTATGTTAATTAGTATAGAAGAGTTCATATTTATATCTATATGTATAGATATTTTCGTATTTTTATATATATAATATCTAACATATATTTGTATATATTACAGGAGGACAAACTTCTACTTGAGAGTCAGCTCATTTTGGCCACAGCAGAGCCTTTGTGTCTTGATCCTTCAATAGCAGTGACCTGCACCACAAACAGACTCCTGTACAACAAGCAGAAGATGAACACTCGCCCAATGAAACGGTAGTTTTCAATTTGCAGCGTGTTAGGACTTTCTTTCAAATGTTATGGTGTACTTAAATATAAGCAGTACTATACATCAAAACTTTGGTGGCTTGTGTGCATTCATATCTAATTAAATATATACTAGGAACAGTCAAGGAATTGTGTCTTTTGAAGTGCTCTAGTTTGTACTGAATTTCAATTAGTAATATATCCAGTAATATGTATATTTCTGCATACCAGAAATACTTACTATTTTCCTAACATAATGAATGACATTGCAGTTATGACCTTGTCTAGATTTTTGCTTAGTTCAGATGTAAGCTGAAACAGATGGCAGCTCAGCAATGTGAAATGTATGAACTGATATACTGCTTAGTGGTCTCTGATCCTTTAAAAGCTATGTACAAGTTTAACCCTAAATGAGGAAATCAAGGGGATTACTTATATGCTTGAAATTAAGGCTACACCAAAGTATTGGCGTATTAGAACTGTAGTAACTTCATAAGCAATGTGGAATGTATTGTGTACAAAATGTTGAAATTGTTTCCCTTTTGTGCATGATTGTTCACGTTGTTCCACGAAAACTTGAAATGGTTAGCTTTTTTTTTTAGTAACAAAGATGCACTCATTCTGTAGAATGGTAAAGTACTAACTATACTGTTAGAATTACAAAATATATTTAAAACTGGATGTGCACTGAAATATTATGCTCCTGTACAACCCGTGGTACTGTTATATAATTGTAAATAGAGAAATTGTTCATTGACCACTAAGTTTTAATTTTAAGGACAGCTGGATCAATTTGATAGAAAAATATGCAGAGGTCTTAAATGAATGCCCAGGATAGTATTAATGTACCAAAGGATTCTATATGAGACAAAGAATGCAGGACAGTGCAAAAACAACGCAGTAACTATAACTCTGTAGGTACGTAAGCAGTACATGGGTCTTTTGGCAGAACTGGAATCTCTGATAGTATACCAGTTTCACAAGCTTGGTAACTTTTTAGATAGTTATTCGTTTTGACAATGTACTTTCATTCTGTATTTCAAAAATGTATCACAGATTCTTAGGACTGAAGTATACGAACAGAATACTAACACTTTTTAAAAATCCAAAGTCAAGAGTTTGAGTTACATGGTAGAGTCGAGAAAAACAATTTTAAATGACTGTTTCAGCACCTTTCTTTTAGTTTCAATGTAAATAGCATTTTCCTGCATATTTGTGTGTTTTTATAGAGGCAGTGGAGTATTTGATTTTCGTGGTTTTTCAAGCTCATCTATCATTTTACCACAGGTGCTTCAAAAGGTACTCCAGGTCATCTCTGAACAGGCAGCAGGAAGTGGCTCATTATTCAACTCCACCTCAGCTTAGACTACTTGACTACTTACAGAAAAGAAAGGAGAGGAAAGGAGCCCAGCAGTATGACCTCAAGATTTCTAAAGCTGGAAATGTAAGTGCTTTAAAATTTAGGTGGGTGAACTTTTAACTATTTAAAATATTTAATATGTTAATATTGCTTTATTCTTGTTCATCTTTCAGTGTGTAGATATGTGGAAACAAAACCCTTGCTACTTGACTGCACCTTCTGAAGTGGATGTAAGTTCAGTTGTTACCAAGAACAGTTATTGTTGTATTGCATGAAAAAAGAAATGACTAAGAGTGTCCGGTATCAAATAATGCTAATTTTTGAAAATAGGATTTACTTTAGCATTTGAAATAGTCTTTCCTGTAAGGTATAAATACAAGCTAAACCACATTATAATGCGTTGCAATTTTAACATGATGGTTTGGATGAAATAAGTAGCACAAACTGACCTTAAATATTGTCCAGCTGTGAGGTGAATAAGCACACTTGTTCAAAGTTGTCTGATATGAAAAATAGAAACAGAAATAAGGTAAAGTATTTTAAAATGAGTCACTTAGCTTAATAGAAATTCCTTACTTTTTTGACATGTTATGACACAATAAGACATGATATTTTCAATAGTTTAATATTTTTACATGGAGAAATTCTGATTTGGAACTCTTATGTTCAGTCTGTGTGTACATATAAGGGAAAATAATCCAGGAGTATTCTTCTTTCAGGGACTTGGACGTTCTTGGTTTTTGGCACTGCCAGGATATATACTATTAGTATATGGATGGGACTAGAAGCGATTGTAGTTTTGGTCCCAATGTAGGTATGGCTTAACGGAGCTGACAGGAGTGCACATTATACATTTGAAATGATGCAGAAAGTTTATACAAACCTTCTCTCCCTTCGCTCTTCAACAGTATTGTACCTGCCATAATCGGAGTCTTTAGCAGCTTCTGCTATTGTCAGATTTCGTAACCATTCCACGTTATGGGCGGTGGTTTAAATCTGTAGTTTTAATCCATGTTTTCCGCTTAACACTTTTGTTAATTAATATACCAAATATGGTAGAACAGAACAAGGGTAAACCTCTGAAGGTTCTCAGATTCACTTTTCATAAATGCTGAACACAAAGAGGGGTGCTATAAGAAGTATGAAGTTACCTTTGGCTGGTTTTTGCGCTCGCTTTCTAAGGATCTGATGTTGCTTTTCAAAACAAGATGATGTTCTGTATTAACTCCAGATGTGTCCCACAAAGACTATTCTTGTGTTTCTTCTCTAATATCTCCGTTTTGTTTAAGGTGGAAAAATATGCCAAAGTGGAAAAGTCTATCAAGCCTGATGATTCACAACCAACTGTCTGGCCAGCGCATGTGAGTAGTTTAAACCTTTGGTCAGTCTTTCCTGTCTCTAGTTAAAATGCCTCTTATTTCAACAAAGTCTAAATAATCTGGGAATAATCTTCCCTTCCCTAAATTGATCTTGCATGTATTATATAAGTATGGAAAGGAGATTCTTACAGAGACTTGTAACTGAATACAATACATCAGGCACGTGATTAGTAAAAGGAGTCATTTACTGTTATTATTCATTGGAACATAAAGTAAATAAAAATCTACATGTAAAGTTAGTTCATAAATCTTAATCTCAGTTTTGTAATTAGAGCATGATTAGGAAAGCGGTAACTGTTTGCCGAAGTCCTTCCTGTAATGGAATAATAGGTTAAACGAGATACTGTAATTTCATCAGGTTTTCCAGAAATACAAGTAAAAGCAGCTTGAATCTACGAAATAACATGTGATACCACTGTATTGCAAAGACAATGTAGTAATTTATAGTGAGCAGTGCTTTATTCAACAAATTGCGTTCTTCGCTCACGTGCTCATATACAAATTGATGGAAGAGCTTTTGTTAAAATGAAAACAGTAAATTTGGAAAGAGGTTATGCTATATTAAATACCTCTTACGGAAAGTTCTTTCTGCAGTGTTTAAATTGGAACTTAAGATTTAGCACAAATTGCATGATTTGGTAAGGAGAAATCATTTAATGATTAGCCATAAAATCAATTCATTGGTTCTGGGTAATTTCCGAGGCAAGATACTACTTTATTATCAGCATCTTCCAGGATGTCTGTGTAGTGTCATATTAACAAAATAATACTTTCCCGTCTTTACTATATTTCTGTATTTTTAAGAGACAGTAAAATTTTTTCCCTCCCACCCCTTTAGAGAATTTCTTCTCAAATTAATTTTGCTTTAGACATAGAGAAGCTTTTTATAGTGTGTTACTTAACTCTCTTATTTTCCAGAACTGTGACGTATTTTACTAGCTGTTTCTGTTATTGCTTGATTAACATTCACTTGTTAATTTTCTTTTGTCTTTTAGGAAGTAAAAGATGATTACGTGTTTGAATGTGAAATTGGTAATCAGCTTCAAAAAACAAAACTGACTATTTTTCAGTCTCTTGGCAATCCATTGTACTATGGTAAAATTCAGACACTCAAAGGTGATGACGAAAATGATAACCTATTAACTCCCTCACAGTAAGTTACATGTTCTTTTAAATTGTGCTATGATCTGATAGATGAGAGAAGACAAATAATATGTAATTTTTTTTTGGTCATGAAAGGAAATTCACCATGTTTCACTCAGGAGCTAGAAATCTGATTTAAGAATTTTATCTGAAAAATCAGAAAATTAACTTCTCGTGCAATTTTTCTACCAAAAAAAGATACATTTTCCAGCAACCATCATAACTGAACGTTCTCTTAAAGTAAATCTGCGTGTTCTCTTGCATTAAAGCTGTATTGAAGAAAATCTCAAATTGTGAAGATGCTGGTGTCAGCACTCTCTTTCAGTGTTGCATGTAATTTTGATCCTTGTGTCAAAATCTGTCTGATTTTGTGAAACCTAAGAGCTCTGGATAATACAATTAATTCTTTAGCCTAAATAAATAAATGATGAAGGAAAGCATGAACTCCAAAGAAGTTTAATCCTCCTGTTTGTGATCATGTTTTGAATCTGCTGTTGTTGCCGGCAGTTCTACAAATGTTCTCTATTAGCTGTGTTTTTTATTGTATGCAGTGCCATATTCTTTCTATGGATGAACCTGTGCAGCAGAGCAGACCCTATAAATTGCATCAAGGCAGAGAGCAGTTAGTTGGAACAAACCTTAGTTCTGTTAACGAGTAGTGTTTTTATTGTTAAGTAGTATATAATTCTTATCTATTACTTTTTAATTACAACTTTAATCTTTTCACACTTGGGATGTTTTATCCCTGGACTTCTTGACCTATTTGCTGTTTGTTTCCATGACTACTACTGATCTTCCCAGAACAACAGTGTTGGCTTACAATGAAATAAGGTTGAGAATTGAAAGGACTGTAAAGGAGTTAGATGCCCAATTTTTCTTGAAAATCACTGCTCTAGTTTATAACTTTTAAAATATTACCAGTTGGAGTTCATCAGAATTTGGATTCTTAATCATTTGAAAATCCTATCATAGGAAGTGAGAGAGGCATAAGTTGTTTTCATCATTTTAATGTAAAAAAAAAAAAAAAGTTTTTTTGACCTAGAGAAACAGAAAAAAGGTCTATAGTTTAAAAAAAAGTTCTAACACGTTCGCACATAAAATCTGAAGTAATAAAATAGTTTGCAAACCATAAGCATTAAGCAAAAAAAAAAAAAAAATCCTTAGCTTGGAGTTTTTGGAAAATTGTGAGGAATTTGGACAAGCCAAACCAAGCAATGGAAACTGAAAATTTAGTTAAAGTTTTACAACTAGGGCTGTTAACATACCCACAACACACTTATGTTTTTTTCTGTGTGAACAGATTGATACATTGGTTTATATATACATTTGCTATACTTTTTTTGGAAATACAGAGTAGAAAACTCATATAATGCCTTATGTTTTATAGAGAACTCACTCTTAAGGGGACCATGTTAGAATGAGAACAGAAATTTATCATGCTTAATGTAACCTTAGTAAAGTATACTGTATACATAGTTACGAAGCCAAGTTTGTAATTCAAGTACTAAATAATGCCCAGTCCATTAGATTAACGTGGTTTCTCATGTCACTGGGCAGTCCCCAAAGAGAGCAGCATTCTCATTCTTTGAAAGCCTTGTGAAAGAAACAGAAACAAACTTTTTAGTCCAATTCATGACTGAAAATGTATTTCATACTTTTTACATTTCAGGTTCCTTATTGGTTCCAAGACTGATGCTGAAAGGTAAATTAATATGATATGTATATGCAGTTGGCTTGGTGCCAGAGGATGAATTAGGTCCTTTTAGCCATTATGACTCTTAATGCTGTGGTTATGAAAGCAGCTGTAGAACTTACAAGGAAAACGTGGGAAACTAATCATTGTAACAAGAAGAAGCATATAGCGTACAAATCCTGTATTTAATATTCGTAAGAATAATAGAGGAGAGCAAAGATCTCAATATAGCTTGTTCCATTACCTAAATTCCAACAATGTTGTTACACAGTGATTTGTGCAGTTTTTGTTAATTACACAGGTAATGATAAAATTCTGAGAGCACCTAACAGAGGTGTTTCACCTTGAGAATTTGTATGGTAAATTGGCCATCATGAAAGTTGTTAATTTGAACTTAAAGAATAAGACTATTTATTTTTGTATGCTATTCGTTATTTGATTCAGCTTTCTTAAGAGAAGTGATTTTTTATTTCTGAAGCATGTTACAAAATAGTTCTCTAGGATATTTTAGTTGTAAAACGATTAGGAGTATCAAGTCTGGGATAACTAAGGTAGCAAAATGAATATTTCTTCAAATATTTTTCAGTATGGATCCCATTAGATACCTGTGTGCTTTTGTGCATATGAGCACAGAACCTTTAAAAAGCAGCTTCTCTCAAAGCTGTTCATGTTTTTGTGCCTCCATAGGAGATCTTGAGGTGGTATGCATACCATAACCCTGCCCCACTCTCTTCTTACGTGCCTGACAGAAAGAGGAATACTTGATTGGGTTGAAATTCAATGTTTTTTGGTTTAATAGATGACTGATGAAGAAACTCTTTGTTTATATTCTCTGCTGCCTCCTTTGTGCTAATGCAAAGTTTTGTGAGTTGTGCTGCAAGCTGTACTGGGGAGCTGGTTAGCCAAAAACTTAACAGTAATACAGGGGTATAATTTTAACTGGGGTTGATTTCCTGATCATGTTTGCCACTCTGTAGTGCAAATCCTCCCATGAGAATAAGCAGTTGGGTTTCAGGGACCGGGGCAGAAGAAACAGCGAAAGGAGGATGGAGGGACCAGATTTTTGAGTGCAGAGTATTTTCTTACTCTGGTTCCACTGTCATTTTAAGCCAGTCTAAATCCTAGCTGCTGAAGAAAGGACACTGCTCTCTTTTCTGTGCGTGTATCTTGAGGCGCTTCCTTGTGCCAGCACAAGTGGTCATGTAGCGGCATATTCCGTCAGTGCTATACTAAACTAAAATTCACTTCATTACACTTAGGTGTAAGCTAATGTAAATATCATATCTCCCTACCTTAAAGAGTATTCTGCTCATGTTTGTGAAACGCTATTCTGTCAACAGTTTTCTCAGCGTAGTTGTGAGATATATATCATTGCTAGTTAGTCTCCTAGAAGGAGGTTTGTCTGTGCTGATACTCAAAGAAGAAAGAACTGTTACTCTCCCTGTGATTCTTTGAGATACGCTCAATGTGGACTTCTCAATCCATTCCTTGCTTTTGGAGTCCTCATCTAACATAGACTTCAAACTGAAGGACCGTTCTCTACAGAGCATAAGCAAGCATGGGACACATGTAAGCCCAGTGAACACAGCCTTACAAAAAATTTTAGATTCATGTGAAAGAAATGGATTCCCCACTGACTAATATTCCAAAGAATTACAGTTGCTTTGAGGAGGGAAGCTGTTCTGTCTTCTCTAGTTTATTCCTCCAAAACAGTGTTTCTTGACCTTAGATAAAGCAGTTGGCTGTCTGATTCAGCTTCACTGCAGGGAACTACTTTATCTAAGCATTGGTAAAGCGCATTAGAAAAAAAGTAATAAAATGTAAATGGAGTAAATCTAAGCTAGAAAGAAAAAAAAAGGGGGGGAACAGAGAGCAGAAAAGTTTTATTGGAAGTTCAAATTTGTTAATCTTTTCAAATCTTTTTATGTCCTCGTGTTTGTTTCAGAGTGGTGAACCAGTACCAAGAGTTAGTACAAAATGAAGCTAAATGTCCTGTGAAAATGTTTCATAATTCAGGTGGATCAGTCAATCTTAGTCATCTTTCTCCAGGGAAGGAAATGGAAGTGAGTTTATTGAGCCCTACGTTTCTTATATTTGTACTTGATTTTTGAACTATTTGAAGGATCTTTGCTAGCCATATTTAAAAGTAAAATAACCTGAAGGCATTTTTAAACACAGTATTGTTGTAATCAATCATTCAGGTTAAATATTTTGTAAAGAGGTTGGAGGAAGGTACTTTTGTTTTCACTGATCACAGGCTCTTTTGTAGTCCCTATACCCTATTTTCTGTATTTTACAGAGCGGCATAGGATAATACGGTTGTGGACTTTCCAGTGCAGGCCAGTAAACAGAGAATCAGATGTAGCAGCTGAACTTTTACCTTTATTAAAAAAAAAAAAAAGTATTTTTATCTGAATTTGAAGAGGCAAACTTTAAAAAAAAAAAATAAATCACCTTCAGAAATCACTTTCAGAAAAAAGCACCTGTGCTTGTGTGTACATATACAGTAGAGATTCCTGCATTCCCAAATTCTCATGCCTGTTGACATTGCCCTATATTTATTGGCTTCTTCTGGCTTTCTTGATCAGATTCAGTTCTCTAGTGGTAAGTTGTATTTACCAACTAGAAAATGAATTTCAATAAATTAAGACTCTTCAGTTTGCTGCCTCTCTCCCTTAGATACCTACTTTTAACCTAGAATAACCTTTCTTTGAAAGAGCGTTCTTTTTGTTAGCCAGAAAAGTAAGCAAAGGCCAGCAGTTGCAGAGAAGAATTCATAGGTATACGTGTATGCATAAGTATGCATATACATATATATGTTCATATGTATATGTATGAATATATACACATGTATGTGTGGGAGGGCTCTGTGTGTGTGTGTATATATGTATATATATAAATATATGAAAAATAAAATCATAGAAAAAGTTAGGTTGGAAGGGTATTTCTAGAAGTCATCTTGTCCAGCTGTCCAAAACCCCACTGAAAGCAGGACCAAAATTACTCGGGTTATTTTATTAACAATCTAGCCTCATTTTGAGTGGTGCATTAATCTTTATTTTCAGAATTAAGGAAAATTTTTGTGTAGTAGAAGAGAAAGGTAGTCCTCAGGAGTTTCTTCAAAAAATTCTTTTTTATAAGAAAACAACTAGAAGTGTATAAATGAAAGATAGTCAGTCTCTTCTATTACTGAGAATCAGTGGAGGCTAAGAAGGTTGATTCAGTGCAATTGTGGATTCTCAGATTTGTTAGCCTATGTGCATCCAAGTTAGGCTAACGCACTGACATGCCTTGTTCACTGTGTCGGGATCCTCTTTTTATAGTTTCACTATCTAAAACTAGTTAGCAGACTGTATGTATGCTTAGACAACTGTTTTCATTTATGAAATACATGGCTTTATATATATAAAAAAAGACAGGTTACAACTGTAAATGTATTTTCACTGTTGTCTTTTGAGTGTTATCTTTTGAAAGTATGGATTTAGAGTCAGTTATGAGTGACGAAGAAAAACAGATTTGAATAGCTGAAGTTAATTCCTTCTGGAGCTTATAAAAACAAACAAAAAGCAGAACACCTTTCTTCTGAACAGATCAGTGAAATTCTGATCGCACAGAAGTCAGTGGGAAAAGGCCTGTTGATTTCTGCACATTCAGGATTTCCCTGAAATATTTCCCTGAAATGTCTAGATTTCTACTCTTAGAATGCAGAAATCTGATCCTGCTCTCTAAGTCCTTACTGGTTGGAAATGGCAGATGAATACAAATGGTCAATGAATGAAATGAAATAATTTTTCAAGTAAGACCATACTGGAGACTGACCTACTGAAAAGCAGCTCTGCAAAGGAGGACCTGGGGAGTCCTGGTGGACAACAAGTTGACCATGAGCCATCAATGTGCTCTTGTGGCCAAGAAGGCCAGTGGTGTGTCCTGGGGTGCATTAGGAAGAGCTTTGCCAGCTGCAGGTCGAGGGAGGTGATCCTTCCTTCCCCTCTACTCAGCCCTAGTGAGGCTGCACCTGGAGTACTGTGTCTAGTTCTGAGCTCCCCAATACAAGAAAGACGTAGAGCTACTGAAGCGAGTCCAGCAAAGAGCCACGAAGATTATTAAGGACCTGGAGCATCTCTCATATGAGGAGAGGCTAGAAGAGATGGGAATGTATAGCTTGGAGAAGAGAAGACTGAGGGGGCATCTGATCAATGTGTATAAGTATCTGAAGGGAGGGTGCCAAGAGGATGGGGCCAGACTCTTCTCGGTGGTGCCCAACAACAGGACGAGAGGCAGTGGGCAGAAACTGAAACGCAGGCAGTTCCGTCTGAACACGAGGAAGAACTTCTTTCCTGTGAGGGTGACTGAACACTGGAAGAGGTTGCCCAGAGAGGTTGTGAAGTCTCCATCCTGGGAGATACTCACAAGCTGTCTGGATAGGGACCTAGGCAACGTGCTTTAGGTGACGCTGCTTGAGCAGGGAGGTTGGACTAGATGATTTCCAGAGGTCCCTTCCAACCTCAACCATTCTGTGATTCTGTGTAATTCTCTGATTGTCCTTTTTTTAAAGTGTATCTGTCACTCTTCCATTTGTGAATAAGTGCCAAGAAGGACTTCAGAAAGACGGAGAAAAATCAAATTCCTTAGTTTTTTTCCACCTCTGCTTAAATTTTAGCAGCATTTTAGAGTTTATTCTTCATAGTAAGCGTTCTGTCTGCAAAGAGTCAGTCATAGGGTTATGGTTTGATAAAAATCTTCAGTAACGTTTCAAAGGCATTCTATCGTGGTTTTGAGAATTCTAATACAAATTAATTGGATTGTTACACTTTCCTGTCAAATATATGGAAGCTCGCATCATTGCTAAGGTAGTGCTAATTTCTCTTTCCTCCTAGCAGCCAGAAAGTTTATCAGGCTCTGTTCAGTCTTCAGTATTGGGGAAAGGTGTAAAACACCGACCTCCTCCTATCAAATTACCTTCAAGTTCAGGAAGTAGCTCTTCAGGTAATTATTTACTGACTTTAGTGTCTCTTTTTCCATGTGTTCTGACTATTGTAAAGTGACATACTATTACTTTAGTAAAATCTTAATTAAAACATCATTATCTGATGTGTGAAAAGAGTTTTCCAAAGCATCATTGTGTTGATTTCCAATTATATTGTTTAGGAATGTATGTAGTAACAGGTTAACATAAACTCACAAAATAATAATATATTTTAATTATGCTTTTTCAGGTAATATTTTTAGTCCACAGCAGTCAAGTGGCCATCTAAAATCCCCAACTCCTCCTCCTCCTCCTCCTCCTCCTTCTAAGCCTGCTGGTCTTTCTCGGAAACAGTCTATGGATCTTAATCAAGTTAGCATGCTTTCTCCAGCTGCCATGTCTCCTGCGAGCTCTTCACAAAGTGAGTCACGACCTAAATTCTCCATTAAATCTTAGGCTTTTGCATAAATGCTTCTTGAGATAAACTTCTTAACCTGTGGTATGATGAAATTTAAATGTACAGTGTACCCTAAATTGTATAAGTTGTGCAGCTTCAGGCAGGTCTCTTGTTCACTGTATGTATTTTATGTTTATTGTAATTGTGTTTGTTTTTTCTGTATATATGTATGCACCCTTTGTGTATACGTTTTAATACATTTTTATGCAACTACTATGATCTCCTCTTTTATCAAAGGGTGGTAGATGATGTGACAACATAAAATTCCAAAGTGTAGATTTTTCCTCCAGTGTAAAAACAGTGTGTTAGATCAGTTTGCCTTTACATAATTTAAGCATCTGTTTTTTAAAAAAAAATGTTATAGGAGCTGGTGCAGTTGTATCTCTATGTATGTATATAATCTGATCAGTCCCAAGGTGGTGATACAATAAACTATAAGATGATTTTTTAAAACGCTCCTACACTGTTTTACAAATCATTGCTGATTACAAGCGTGGTGGTGATGCTGCTGCTGATGGTAGTAGCACCATATTCTCAAGTGTTAAAATGTAAATTTCAGTAACGAGTGACATCCTAGTTTAATTTTTTTCATTAACACTGATAGGATTATTATAATCAGACATATAGATCATAAACAGTTTTTAAAATATGTATGCGTCTTGAGACATTTCATGAACAGATTTGTACAAAGAGAGAAATCACCGCTGCAGTTTTTCAGACTTTTTTATGAATAATTGTATACTGAACATTCCAGTATCCTGCACAGTATTATACTGTGGTTTTTGCATTAAATAATTTGAAATCTGGATAGCTCAAAAGGTGTAATTTTTCTGCCTTCTTGTTTTGCACAAAGAAAAATAGAAAGCTTAAAAGTTTTCTTCTAACAGATTTACTCACATTTTTATATTACTGCTATGGATGGTGTAAATTACTGCACACAGTTGTTACTGTAAGTAAGGCTCTGGTCACAACCTCTGGACATTCACATTTCTTTCCTTTCTTTCTGCAGGACATGAAAGCTAAAAAAGAAAACACCCCAAGAGCTTTTTTTTTTTCTTCTATTGATAAACTGTGCTTACTGCATCCACAACAAATATAGCTATACATACTACATTTTAGCAGAAAGAATTACACAATAACTTTTAAAGATGCAGTATTATCCTCTGTTTAAAGAAAAAAACACACATTTTGTTCTCTTTGTTTGATCAAAATTTGGCAAATGGGAGTTTAGTTATCTGAGCAAATTTAGATTGACCCCACAATTACTGAAATAGTATCTGTTCTTTGTTCAATCTGTTGTTTTCCATGATATGTTTTTTAATATGATGCTATTGTGCAGGCAGTGCATATAGAGTATATGTTTAACTTTTTAGGACGAAAACATTAATTAGGTTAAAATGATCACTCAGAAAAATTGTTTTATTTTGACTTAAATATTTCTGAATAGAGTTATGACTTAATGTGCCAGAAATTTTGGAGGAATGGTACGAATTTGTGTTCAGTTTAAAGAATTAAGCATGGAGAATGGGGTTTCTGTGTGATATACTGCATCCTTAACAATGAGTGCGTGCTGCAACACTCGTGTCGTGTAGAAATTAACACTCGCAGTTTAAAAAATGGAACAAATTATCAGTGCTAAATAAGATTCCATTAACCTTATTATACAAAAAGGACTGGCCTTTTATAACAAACTAGCACTTTTTATTTTTCTCAATGAGCAGGGTCTGGAACTCCTAAACCATCTACTCCTACTCCAACCAACACCCCTTCATCGACCCCACACCCTCCTGATGCTCAGAGCTCAACTCCTATTACCCCTTCTGCCACCCCTACTCCCCAAGATTCAGGCTTCACCCCTCAGCCCACTTTGTTAACCCCGTTTGCTCAGCAGCAAATGTCTCTGAGCCAGGCATTGCCTGTAATGACCATTCCTCTTTCCACCATGGTAACATCCATTACTACAGGAACAACCTCCACCCAGGTCATGGCAAACCCTGCAGGACTTAACTTCATCAATGTAGTGGGCTCTGTGTGGTAAGTCCTTTGTTATGATGGTTTCTTAATTTATCGGGGTGTGGGGGGGGTCTGTTTGGTTTTTTGTTTGTTTTGTTGTTTTTTTTTTAATACCAAATTGTTCAGCATACATTAAGATAGATATTTTTCAGAATCTCCAATACAGAAAGGTCATTCACCTTGTAATTATGAAGTGATGAACAATTAGAAATTACTTATATTATTGAAATTTGAGGCATCTACTATCAAAGTGTTAAAAAAGTCTGTTAAGAAACTTTGAGCTTTTAAGATTAAGGGTTTCATTTTATAAGGCTTACCTCAAAATTTAAGTATTTTTTTGAAGTTTTGCTCTTTTATGAGTTTGATTTTTTTGTTTTATTAATCATAAAAGAGGAGATATCATATGCAGAAAGTTCTAAATGAAAAAGAAAGAAGTGCAATATTAAGGTCCCTGTAAATCAAAATATTTTGTAAAATATTTATAATAGGAAATCAGCAAATCTGATTTCTAACAATTACTTAAACTTTTAGGTTAAACTTATTTTGATCCTTAAAACTCATGTTGTGGTTAAAAAGAAGTGCTGTTGAAAATAGATTACGTGATATAAGACTGCTTTTAAACTAAATGAAATTTCACAGTCAGTGTCTGATGGTCAGTGCAAGTCACACGGTATGCTTCAGTGCAAGTGTATTATACTTGAATTACTCGTTTAAGATGTTCAACAGTTGATTACTGATAATTCATTAAGCAGGCTTTAAATGATGCAAAAGGAAAATATGAACCTGTTCTTCAGCTTTCTGTTACAATAGTGCAATGATTTTGAAGACTGATCTCCAGTCTTTCTAGTATATCTTGCAGACTGGTTCTTAAAAGAACCAGTTATATTTTATTTTCCATAGGTTATACCAAAGGAAAAAATTGTATAATGTGGAAAAAATGGATCTACATATTTGTTACACCCCAGGAATAACAATTTTTTAAGCTACCTTAAAGCTTTATCCATAATTCCATTTAGAGCGAACAAATGAGTGTACTTCTCATGAGATAGCAGGAAAAAAAATTAGTTCTTCAGAATTACTTCTACCTCTTGGGTTTGATGTGTTGTCTTTCCTCTTCTACAGTGGAGCACAGACACTGATGAGTGGTTCAAACCCTATGTTGGGGTGCAACACTGGTGCCATAGCCCCTGCAGGTATAAATCTGAGTGGCATTTTACCATCAGGAGGTCTGGTACCAAGTGCGCTGCCTGCTGCAATGCAGTCTGCCTCTCAAGCAGGTTAGTGTGAATAAGTCAAAAAGCCATCCTTCAGATAGGGACAGTGTGAAACCATTCTATGAGAACAATGGACAAAAGAGGCTGTTGTGTGAACAGAGTGTATATGTGATGACCTGAGCTTAGGAACAATATAAATATTTTTTTCTCCTAAATTTAAGCTGCGGTTGAGGTTGTTTGAGATTATGATTTTGAGGAGCTAGGCTGCGGAAACATACTCTACGTCTGGGTTATATGTTTGGTATGCCCAGCAGGAAGTTTTGAGTTAAACTGCATTTCAAATTCAGATGCAGCTTTGATAACAATGACTGCCAGAAAAAGAAGGCATGACAGAAATTAGAAAGAGGCCTTGCTCTTCAAATGTTTGTGGTGGTTTATTCTATTGCTGATACTGCTTTATTCTCGTAAAACAGTTAATTATTCCCATACGGCTTTCAAGTATGACTGTATAAATCTATATGCCTGAGTATTCATTAAAGGAGCATTTAAATTCCTAGTCTATTCAGTTTTTTGGAGAATATAATAAAGACAAAAACACTAATGTATGATTATGGAATCAGAAGGATAGAAGAGATTTTGATAGCTGTCCCTTACACTGAGACATGGGCAGTGTTTATCTAAACTATCTTTAAATACCTTCACTGAAGAAGATTCCAGTCTCCCTCAGTAGCTGTTTGGAGTAGTTCACTGTCCGTACAAAGTGTTTCCTTCTAATTACAATGCATCTCCTTAACTGTGAATTAAGTTATTTCTTTTATCCTGTTCCTTGGAGACATGAGAAACAGTTGATCGCTTCCCTTTACCTTCTAAATATCAGAAACATGCTGACACGTCCCACGTTTGTCTTCTCTTTCTGATAGGTCGTATTTTTCAAACCTTTCATAATCCTATCACTCTCTTCTAGACTGTCCAATTTGCTTACATCCTTCTTAAAATGTGATACCCAAAACTGGATACAAGCCTGAGCTTGGCTGATTTACCACTGTGGAGCACAGCAGAATAACTGCATCTCATCTCTTTCACAACATTCCTGTTAACATTTCCCCAAATGAGGTCTGCCTATTTTTATTTGTATTTTTTTGCAACAGCAATTGCATTAACATAAGAATGGCTGTACTGGGTTAGGCTGAAAATCCATCCAGTTTATATTCTGTGTCTGACAGTGGCCATTAGACAATACTTAGGGGAGAGTGTAAGACCAAGCACGTATAGGGTTATACATGTGTACAGCCCCCACCTCTTCTGGCAATCTACAGCTTTGAGACGGTCTCAGATAAAGGCTATCCATGTGGATCTTTGGGTTTACCATCCCTTGGCAGATTTCTCTTCTGTGGATTTATCTACTTTTTGAATCCATTTATATTTTCGGCATCTGCAGCATCTTGCAATAGTGAATTTTATAAATGTGCACTATGTGTGAAGAGGTGGTGTGTTCTGGTGTGCGATACTGATGTTTCAGATACATTTGTGATTTACTGTAATTTCTCGCATCCTTTCTTGCTGTATAGATGCAAAGCTGGTTACTCACCATGTTATACTTGTTCATTTGTCTTTTTTGAATTCAATATCACTGATTTTGGACCTTTTCTCCAACTTTTTAGGAACGTTTTTAGTTCGAATCCTGTCCTTACAAGCACTACTAAATTTTAACAATTTTGGTGTCATTCACAGATGTTACAAACACTGATGTCCACATAACAAATGGAAGTAGTGATTTGAACTAGGTCTGTGGCAGACCTCTGGGGAATTCTGTTTGACCATTAATGTTTTATTGAAGCATTTTAATCAAGCTCATAGCTTACTACACACAAACCTTTTTTTTTTTTTTTTTTTTTTTTTTTTTTTTTTTTTTTTTTTTTTAATCAAAGCTTTGAAGAATGCCATGTGGAATAATAGCAAAAGCTCTACTGAAACCAGAAATGTCTTCCTAGAAGCCTTCGGAGGGAGGACAGTTGTTAAGATTTTAGGTGTTTTTGTTTAGTTTTTTAATGATTGGTGTCACTTGCCACGTTAGTTCCCACATAGTTGCCACATAGTTTCTCTCTAGAGAAACTATAAGAACCTGTACATCAATGAGTCCTCAGATATTTCTGGATTTACTGTACAAACAGTAAAACATTAAAGCCAGGAGAAGAATCACTGAATAATAACTGCTGTAATATTCTCCACATTCATCTTTGTCATAAATGCGGTGATAGGTTACAGGGTGTACAGTGTACCATGTTTAGTAGTGATACAGTTTTCTTTCTGTTTAGTCAGCACTAACTTTGAATCTGGACAACTATGCACTTTTCAACTCTAGGGAAAATGCAGCACTGTGTTTGAGTATAAAGTTTCAGCTTGCCAGCTTCCACCTTCCAGATGTTTAGAAATAATCCTAGTGGAAGGGGGTATTTAATGCAACACACGTAGTTAATGACTTTCTACTAATAAAAAGATGTTTTCTTTAACAGGCAGCCCTTTTGGTTTGAAAAATGCATCAAATCTTCGGCCCTTAAATCTTCTACAGGTAATTGATATACTTGGACACACTAACAATGATAATTTTTTGTATTGCTTTGGAAACATGTTTAGTGCTTTTTACCACATTGGCCCGCACAGCTCTTTGAAGACAGTTGTTTGGAAACAAGCCATTTATTGTAAATTTTTGATTACTAATTAAATACATAAAGCAAGAGAAAAAGCTGGTCCCATAAAGATTGCAAGAGGAAATGACATTCTCAGCTCACTACAAAGCAGCTGTTTCTCAGTAACAATATAAAAATGCTGACATTTGAATTCAAGAGATTAATCCTAAAATACCATCTTCTGTTTTCAGCATTAGCCTAGGCTTGCAGTGCAAATAATTTTTAAACTGAAATTATGCCTATTTGAAAAGTGCAAAACAGTACAGTAGAATCACTCATGGTTACACGTATAGGCCTAAAAGCTGAGGTGAGCATGCACAGGTAGGTGCACTAATTGCTTTAAAAAACCTTCTGGTAATGGAAATAGAAGTCCATGTAAGATAGAGAGTTTAGAGGCTCTATAAATATCTTCTTTAAATTAAACATGCACACACACAAACATGCACAAAAGACACATTATGTCTGAGCTCCGCATAAAAGCATAACAGGGAATGTGCATAGAACTGGCTTTAGTTCCTGGATCTTGAAGTCACTTGAAAGTTACAGCTGCAGAGGTGCAGCTTCCAACTTCCACAAATCCCAAGTTCTACAAAAAAAGAAGTTTCACAAGCACCATGCTTCCAGAATTTAATACCAGTAAGACATCAGCCACAACTTTGATACTTCCTCTTCCAACTCCTGTACGTGCTCCAGAAGCATGGAATAGGGCTGGCACAGGAGGCAGTTCTGCCAGAGTAGAGCTCTTCTGTAAAATTAAATATTTGTATTTGTGATTCCAAATTGAAGTGTAGCCACTCAGGCTATATCTTTGTAAGTCAAGAATAATTTAGTTGAAATCAGTGCAATTAATACTGTAAAACTGGAATAAGTGAGACGAATCAACACTGTTTGGTTTTAACATTTCTTGCATTGGACTTTGCAACTTATTCATTGGAAGCACCTAAATACAGTGGAATATTCTGAATATGAAACTAGTATACTGTGCTTTTGAAGACTCCTTTATACCTCCAGTGTTGGTGCAATCTCTACTATTTTAATTAAAATAGGCTAATAAAAAGGTATTTCGCTGTAGAACTAGCTAGCTACAATTAATGCAGGTTTGTTTTCTGAGCATGAGGCTTTCTCACAAACAACAGCTATTGTAAACGGATTCATTTTAAAGGATTTTTTTCAAAATCTCCAAGGCGTGCATCATTAGCAATATCATATTCATCCTAGGACAATGGGAAACTCAGCAGTTTGATTGAATTATGCCTTTTGTTTTTAATCTTCAACAGCTTCCAGGTGGTTCACTTATTTTTAACCCACTCCAGCAACAGCAGCAGCAGCAGCTGTCACAGTTTTCTCCACAGCAACAATCTCAACAGCCTACAACCTGTAGTCCTCAGCAACAGGGAGAACAGGTGTGTGCTAACAGCCCTCAGCCTGGGGTGCTTGGATGAAACAGTTTCTCCTATTCTCCCCAGTCTCCACAAGTAAATAAGCCTTTACACAACAGATCTGAAACAGATGTGGGGGGGAAAGTCCTCTTCCAAATTCTTCTCAAACTGCAAAGACTGCAGTGGCTTTGTTGCCATGGCTGGAGCTGGGTCATACTTACCTACGTCCTCTATAAAAGAGCAATAGCAAGACAACTGGCTAAGCATTATCTTGCTCTAACATGAAGAGAGCCAGCCCACTGTATGAGTGGTGTGAAATTAATTAGTGTTGTCCTGTTTATCACAGCTAGCAGATACCATACACTTCAGATGAACAGAGAAGAGACACAGAACAGGATTACTAGAGAGTAACTGAAATTTCCTGTCGGGAGTTGGTTTATGATCCTCACTGCTGTCGTTCTCTCTGCACCCAAAAAAGTACCCGTTGGCTTTAAAGCTGTAATCTTAGAATAATTTGCTCTACTGCTGCCTATACTCAGTGTTAAAGGGTTTAATCACTGAAGAAGTCTAAACTCTTGATGGAGACTAATCTGTTTTCAAAATACCAAATTTTGAGTGGTTGGTTCTACCTGTGCCTAAAATCTTACCAGGACTAATGCAGCAGTTGGGGAAAACTGTAGCTGCTCTGCTTTTGTGTTCTTTAGGGCTACAAACTCTTGTCTCCTGGACATTCAAGACTTCTGTTTATCAAACAGTCTCTACTGGATACACAAATGTTTGTCTTAATTTTACTTGAGTATTGCAGACTGTTCATAAATAGGTTGACTCTGACTATAAGACTATCGGTCTACTATTTTCTATGCCTGCTTTTATGTCAGTTGATTTCTTAAAATGTTTCCAGGGCGTACAGTCTCCTGTGTCACAGGCGTTGTTCTGGAATGTGTGAAAGTTTAATGAGAGACTTCTAGAGATTTATTCTCAGAATCCAAATGTCAGTTACTAGTTGAATTATTTAAAAAAAAATGCAAGCTGGTGCTCTTAGGATTTATTTTTTGGACACTGAAGTAAGGACATTGACAAAGGCTGATTTGAGCCTAGTCCTTCCTACAGCAAACTTCTTCTGGAGGAAAATCAGTCTCTCAGCATTGGCTAACTTGCCCCCAAGGAACTTCTCTCTTATCACAAGTTACAGAGTAGGACTAGGGTCGTTAGACAAAAATCAGCAATTAGAAATACTAGATTCTTTAGCTTCAGTGAGAACAAGAACTGTATTTGTTCAGTGTTGTAATCCAAGTGCTTAGTGAAAAAAACTTTAGCCAAAAAATTTCCTGTTCTGCCAACAGAATGTGGGCTCACTTTTGTCATACTTTGGTGTTTTTTTGCAGATGTTGGTTCTATGGCTTTGATTTGTAAAAAAAAAAAAAAACAAAAAACAAAAAAAAAACAAAAAAAAAAAAACAAAAAAAAACCATTCTTAATACACACTACCATAACATTTTCTTTAATGTGCAGTCTTTTGGCCAAGTTTACCTAATCTTAGTGGCAGTATTTCATATGGTTATTCTAAAGAAGCACTACAGCAGCTCAAATTTGTTTCCTTTTTCCCCTTAAGATTGTTAAGCTAGGCAGCTTGCTAAATCACATACATAAAACACACTTAAGCACTTTCTTTCCAGATTTTATAAATTAATACGTAACATAAGGCCTGAAATAGACTGTAATTCAGCAACCATTGACCTCAATGGGCACCAGATTAGGCTCTAATAAATCAATTTGTATGATTAATGTGAGAGAGACTTTGTTCTGAAAACAAAATTTTAAAAGCAGTTTCTTTTTTCCATGAAGCTAAGGAAAGTGGCACAATCTGAATTTGTGAATATACTTTTCAGACTTTTCACATTTTGATTATCATTAGGATTTTTGCATGTGGATAGTTTCAGGTGTCAGCTGAAGACTTCAGGGGCAGGGGGTTGGAGATGAAATATGATGCGATCAGAACTATGCACGGTAGTCTTTGCTGACTGACAGTGAGGAAGCTGACATCTGCCTGGGCCTTCTGCTAATTAACAGGCCCAATACTATCATTTCTGCCAGAGCTGTTTTGGGGTTTTCAGCGTGAGTAGTGACTATATTATTGCCTACACTCTATAAAAAGCAGAATTCAGAGTTTTAAAAAGGCACTTCAGAAGTTTGTCTTCATACCAGCTTTACTTACTTATTGGTGCCAGAGTTTGGTAATAAGGATCAAGCTTTTTCATTTCTGCTAGGGGTCTGACCAAGGTCCATCCAATCAAGATCAGGCATTATCTGCCCAACAAGCTGCTGTAATTAACCTGACTGGAGTAGGGAATTTTATGCAACCTCAAGCCACAGGTATGTGCTTGCTGAGCCTCCTTTTGTATTCGTGTATGTTGGTAAATTCATACTGAAATGAAGTTTGGTCTTAAAGAAGCCTTATGTTAGATCAGAACAATTTCCTCTTTATTATCAGCACATGAATTATACAAGAAATAATTTCTTTCAAAGCTGCACTTTTTTGCTTGATTTGGCAGTTATGTGTAGTAAATTGATTATCGTTAAAGCATATGGACATACTTCACACTTAATATAAAAAGAAAATACAGAAAACTTCCATGCCAGACTTCATTGAGGAATGTTTCTTTAACTCTGTGCCTAACCTCCCGTATGAGAAAACTTTTTGTGTCTCTACATGCACTTCATAACCTAATTACCTTCAAACTAACCGAGTATGTATATCACATATACTTTATTCTGTACTGTTTCCAATTTTACTCTGAAACTAATTCTATTGATCTCCCTTTTCTGTTGCGCTCTATTCCTTTGTCTTTCTTTCCTAACCTTGACAAACTCGACCTGACCTCTTTGACCTGCCTGCTTTCCCCTTCTCCTTTTCGTAGTGTTGTCTCAGCTTGGCTCTGCCATGAACAGACCTGAGCAAAGCCTTCCTCAGCAGAGACTCCAGCTCTCTTCTGCCTTACAACAGCAACAACAAGCCTTGCAGCAGCAGCAGCAACAGATACAAGTAATCCAGCAACTTCGCTCTGACTGCATTTAAAAAAAACAAAAAAAAAACAAAAAAATACAATTCTCGGCTCCAAAACCAAAAATTCTGCCCCTTAGATTTTTTTGTTACTACTGTCTTCATGGTCTCTCAACGAGTAAAACATTTTGGCACACTACATCTTGAAAGACTTAAAATCTATTGTTAAATGAGCTTGGAGCACTGAATTTATTTTTATTCATTTAAGCCATCCACCTTCCTGATTTGATAACATTCAAGGAGTGTTTGTGGCACATTAAAAATAAGCTCTGCCAGGTGCCATTAGGATTTCAAAATAATGCGACAGCATGAACTTTGTAAGCACCTGTAAGTTCAAATGTACCACAGCTACAGTTAGCACATGGAAAAAGCAGCTCTAGCAAAGCATTCCTTTGCATACCATCATTCAGATGCTTTATAAAGAAATATCTTGGTGTTCTACCACACATTCTCCTTCAGGTGATACATGTAGAAGATACACATACTGAGGAAATACTAGGCTAAAAATGTAAAGCTACTGCTTAAACAAACATTCACTGAAGTTGCTGAGTTACTGCAGTTACTGCAACAGAGAGAGAGAGGGCAAAGAAACAACACCATCTAAGTATATGTGTAAAATGTTAAGATATGCCCTCAGCAGGCTTCTGTGCCACTGGTGCTGCTTGACTGTATTCATTACCCCAGTATGTGGTGTATTTTTTTGTTAACCCTGTACTTTCTCTCAGTTAATTTCATTTTTCCCCTTCCTATCGTTCTTCCTGAAATGAAAGGTAGCTATAAAGCTAACTCTTAACAAGCTTCCCCCCCACCCCCTTCTTTTTCATGGCAGCAGTTGCGATTCTTGCAGCATCAAATGGCTATGGCAGCAGCAGCAGCACAAGCAGCTCACCTACGACATCAACAACATTCAGGCAGCCACTCAAAAAGTAAAAGGAAAAGAGGCACACCGGCCCCTCCAGAATCCTGAGACTTGCATTTTTTTTCTACATATAAACAATGATTCAAAGGGGATTTTTTTTATGCTTTAAAAGGAGGAAGCTTAAACACAAATCAGTGTTTTACATTGCTGGTGGGAAAAAAGAACTTAAAGTTACACTGAAATAAATGGAACTGTTTCAGGAAGCCAACCCTTTGAAAATTAGAGATTTCATCTATAAAGCAGCTAAGGCTTGGTTTCCTGAAGTCATTTAATTTTTTTAACAGAATGTTTTATCCTGTATTTTTTACCATTCAGCAGCTTGTACATAGTATAAGGGTAAAAATCATTTTAGAAAAAAAATGAACTTTGTAAATGTAGTATTGGTATTTGTTTATTTAGTATAAAAAGTTTGTGAACACTGTAACAAATACAATTTTTAGAAATCCATTTTTGAAAAGATCTTGCTTTTTTTGTTCATTTGGGTTGCATACTTTTTATCACTTTGTCTATCAGCTTCTTTACTTCCTTGTGTCTTGTAACAGCTCTGGTGATACAGTCCTGAAGCTTGGCTCCTGTCAGAGGACTTCCACCTAAAAATTAAAAGAATTTGGTTTTCCCTTTATACTTTCCTTAGGTTTCTTTAAACATGTTTTCCAAGTGGAAATGTTAAATAATACAGTAATTCTTGTGACCAGCAACTTATATCTCGGGCATATTTAGCTTCATCAACTATACTGAAGCTGTTAATTAAGTTTGCTTCAGGTTGGTTGGTTGGTTTGTTTTTTTTTTTAAAAAAAAAGCAAGAAGCATGACAGAGACTTTGTACAAGATCTGTCCTTTGCTACATGCAAGATTTTATAGGGTTAGCCATGACTTTTTTTTTTTTAAACCTAAAGTCATGCTACCTTTTTCAAACTTAATTTCAAAAGCAAGTGACTTAATAAGCACTCCAGCCGTCCATCCCTTATCATAAAGCAGCCACATTTTACAAAGAAATGCAGGTAAAGCATATTTGGATCAAAAAAGGTTGTCATCTCCATAGTTCCTGTGTAATAAAACTTAGAAGTACCTGGCTTATGGACTGAACATAGTCTACCTTCTTCATCAGTTACAACTGTTACTGTTCCAGTTGCTAGGTCTTCCTCTTCTGCAGTTGGATCAACAATCAGTAACGTGCTTTTGAAAGAAAACGCGTGCACACATATTTGGTATATGATGATCCATTAACTTCATTGCAAAATACAAGTTACTAATTATGTTTAAAGACTTAATCTTACCAAATATTTATCGTGTGATTTACTGTACAGGCTTATGTAACATCAGTTATGTTATCAAAATACACCAATTTAGAAAAAGAAAAAGCAAATTAGAAAAAGGGAGATTCCACATTAAATTAAAGGCTCTATTTTAGTCTGTAAAGACTTACACTGAAATTTTTATGTTTAAAGTTGAATCAAAAGATCTGCACTATCCACTTATTCAGGAAAATGTCAATTAACTGCGATTTACATTTAGTCACTTAGAGCTACACAAAGAAAGCGTCACTGCTTTTGCACAGGCTGCACACTAATCTCTTTACCAGACCTTAAGGTAAACTACACTTCCAATAGCAAGTTAGTTTACCGAAGTAGTTCTCAGTTTCTTACCGGATTTCTAACACTGATCAGACTAGGAATAGTTCAAAAGTTAGATTGACTGGGTTCCTTGAGGTAACTGAAATAAGCTGTCATAAATCACATAATGCAGATCATTAAAAGAGATTAAATAGTTATTTTTGAACCATGTAATAAGTTAGAGTGAATCAACTAAAAAAGTTAGACAATCTCAACTGTGAGCCAACTTTGCACAAGAAGAATATGAAATTGAAACAAAAACCAAAACAAACTACAATTCAGCGTTACTTTTGTTAAAAAAAAAAAAAACATTGCTGTTACAAACATTTGGCTGTATCCATAATTTATCCATAACAAACTGAAGTGTAGGTATCAAAATGGGAAAAACATTATCTGAAATTTTCATGAAGTTGTAATTTACATTGTTCAAATAAAACGTTTATGTAGTGTTGATGTAACCAAACTCAGCTTACCAGCTTGAGTGCAACTACGCTACATGTTTACGACAAGTTTGGGGGAGAAGTCAGTAGTTAACTTTTAGGAGCTGATTAAACAAATCAATCTGAAGGGCAACAATTTTTTTGTTTTGAATTATTCAAATACAATACATTACACTGATCACAAACATACACTTCCTAATTTAAAAAAAAAAATTCTTCTGGATAATATAAACCTTACAAATAGTTTCCACTTTGCTCTTTTAATAACAGTAGCGTAGTGAAAACATCAGTCCTTAGCTATGCTACACAAAAATATGGCTTTTTAGTTCTACCCATGTGCACTTTGCAGCATCAGCCCTTTGCATGATGCAGGCAACCGAAATACATGGAGAGTCTAATGCATGAGACTTACTATTTCTGAATTGGTTGATTCCACAGAGGCCATGCAGTGGAGCTGTGCAGTGCTCTACATGAGTATGCCTGGCCCAAAGCCCCTACCCAGTAGCCCAGATGTTTTATTTACTCAAAGAGGGCTTTTAGGCAGGAAGAAAAACCATCTGTGAAAGCCAGGGTATGTAAAGCTATTATTTGGAGGGCTGCGCCAATGCTATAGAAATACTAATAAACCAGGAAACATATATGCACGCATGTATACATACCCAGATTATATACACACACCCCCACACCCACATACCATCAATGTTTAGTTTTAGGAGATAAAAGCCAGACTTACAAAGAGTAACTTGTTTGATGCAAGGGTCAGTTTCAGTGAAGGGAGGAAAGACCTACGCAGCATAACCGATAGCTTTCTTCTAAAGACAACTTTTTGTCTATTGGCAAGTGATTTAAGTGCAAGATGCGTGATTTAAGTGCAAATAATACCCTACTGATAACTGCGTGCCCATCACGGTATACAAACTTCCTCACTTTTAGTCTACGTCAAACTTTAAACCCACAAGTACTGGTATTAAAGCAATTAACAGAAGCACTCTAAAATACTGATAAATCTTAGTTCAGTTCATTTTGGTAATCAACTGGTCAACATTTGAGTTTGACATCCCCTCGGCCCGCCCTGGGCATCTCATGTTTGAATGAAAGGGTCTATTAGTCATTTCTGTGAATACAAGTAAATGTGCCGTAACCCCCAACCACCATAAAAATACCTAAATCCTGAATCAGATTCCTAGAGCAATGACTATCATCCTATTTGTCATTGCCTGCTTCTCAAATAGGTATCACCCTAAATACTTGCATTTTTTTTATAAGCAGCTACAGAACACATAAAAGTTCCACGTTCCCAAGAGCAGAAATACTTAGTGCTACTACTTAAAAGCACTGGTTGAGCCAGATTAGTCTGTCACAAAATAGAACCACTGTATCATTAACATGCCTAGACTAAATGAAAAGCCAGTAAATAATTTCAGGAAAGGAGTGAATTTGTCAGATGTCATTACTTTAAAATTTCCATCATCAGATTCTTTACCTACAGGAATAATGATTCAAGAGTGCTGGTCATAAGCCATATTGGGTAATTACGTTTTCAGTTACCCAGAGTTTTTGTTATTTTAACTGGACTGTTAGTTATTACCTCTTCTTTTGACTAAGTCCTTAGTATAAGCTGTTCAAAAATACTGTCTTTTGCATCCATAAGCTTCTTAAAGATTAGTTTGTGTTGGCAACTTTTTTCAAAGATACTGTACAAACATAATACCCACTCCAGAAACTTATTTCTATCCTAGAGTACTTTTAAGTGTCTCTTTTAGGCTAGGAACCAGTTCTGCTTTAGGCCACAGGAAGAAGTTGGACAGACTTCGCTTTGTTTTACTGTATACTCCTTCATATCATAGAACTGTGGGACAGTTCAGCAGAGCACAAATGCCTGAAAAGTGACTTTCTTGGGTAGCATCCTCCATTTTTCTACACTTACAACTACACAGCTGGTTTTTTAAGTACAAAACCTTTATCAGCTTACTCATCAAATACAGCAAATGATGTGGCAACTGGATGCTTTCTGATAATCAAAGGATTCTTCTGCTTTAAATTAACTTCTGATAAACCAGTTTCTTCATTTACAGTAACTGCTGGCAACTGTACTGAAGAGAAGGAAAAAGGAAAAAGGCATATCATTGAACATTGTTTTCAGGAGGCCTAGAGATGATCAAGACTACTGAAATATTTAAGCTATTCTTTTACGATATTGGTAATCCACTGAAAACAGATCAGAATAGTGTTTTGGCTACATTATCAGTGTTCTGTACACAAAATTTCTGAATTTAAGGAACACATTTAGCTTAGAGCTATCTGTCCAAATAAGTATTTCATTTTTCTCGTCAAGTTTTTCTTTAGACAGAAGCATTATCTGCTTCTGAAACGCTGTAAAATTATAATACCTTAAAACTCATACTCCACAAAAAGCACTCCCTCAGAGCCTACTAGCTATATTAAGAACAGTAATATAGTGTCATCTGAGTGACTTTTTAATACACCTATAGAAATAGTACAATCCAGTTTTCAGAAAACTCTCCCTCAGACAACACATACAGTATCAGAGGCAGCATCATGGAAATAAAAAGCAAAGCTGCTACAGGAATTCAAAGGAAAACAGTTCATGAGAAAATTTTCACCAGAAAATGAGGCTTTGCCGTAAGGCTCCCTTTATACTACCTTCCTACAGGCACATATAACCTGCAAGCTTGTGGACTATCAATCCACCTCTGGGATGCATCAAAAACGTTTTTCAAACTATAATAAAATTAGAAATACTCTATTTTGACAATAAGCAAACCCACAACCACTTAGTTTGCCTATACTAAACAGATTAACAAGGTAAGACCCTGATCTAGATACTGAAGTGTATGATCACTGTTGAAAGATTCAGATTTCTGGGATTCAACATACGGCAGAATGGCTATTAGTCTCAGAGGGATAATATGCATACAAAAATACGCAGCTTACAGCCCAGCTGTTAGGTATCTAAAGAATCCATACTGTCATTTCCACTTCATTTTTTTAAGTCATTTGAACGCTGAATTACTAAAAAAGAACAGTGTGAAGGAATTATGAACTAGTTGCCTAGTTGTCATGTTTCAGAACTAACATAGTTCCCCAAATAGTAATGAGGGTGCAGATATTACTCTAGAGAAAACTTACCATTTTTTAATGCTGCTAACAAAGCAAAGGTACTGGCATCCAGAACGTTTCCATCATAATCCAGACATATGATATCACAGTATAGCACCCAAGCAAGCTACCAGAAAAGATTTGCATATGTGAGATATTACAGCAGGCAAAGAAATGGTGCAATATTTAAGCAAATGCTCACGATATGAACAAAGCTGCTTATTTCTATAATAATAATAAACTACTTTTGCCTTTAGATGTAACCCAAGACATCAAAACTAAGAAGTAAAAATCTATAACCCCAAATACCTTCTTTAAAGTCCTTACACTGTGACCTTGTTAGCAATTCCCGCTTCATTTTGAGATACATCTTACCTTGCCATTTGCAATACACAGATCTTCCTTCTCTATTATCTGTGAACTAAAATAAAATGAGAGAGTAAACTAAGAAACAGGAAATTGTTTTGCAGAGTTGTTCTTGTTTTAAAAGCATTAAAACGGTTCTTACTTTTCAATGACATCTGCAATGAACTGGCTAGCTGCTTGAGCCTCCTCACCAGGAGGTCCAGGGCGAAACCTCGTTGAACAGAGGGAGGGCAGTTCTACATTGGGAACTAGATATCAAAAATCATTAGTTACAGACTAGTGAAAGCATGCTACGGAAAAAATAAAAATATAAATGCAACAATATACATTACCATTCATACCACTACCTCTTAATACCGTTTTATGGACTTCAAATGAAAGGCAAGATCAATAACCTTTCAATCAAGTCTTCCTACTTCTCCCCTCAAAAATTAAGTTACATACGAGCTTTGCAGTAAAGAATTTATATTACCTTGCACTCTGGAACTATTTATTCCATGAAGAATCACGTACTCCTAACTACCGTTTTCTGTTTGCAATCCTGCTATGAACGTTAGGCATTCTTAACTAGATCAAGAGACAACAGCATATTCATCCCACAGCCTGACTTTACTGGTATGCTCCCTGCTTTTCGTCAACTGTTACAACTTGATGACATGAAGCAAAAACATGCATAAAGTTTACAGAAAAAAAACTGAGAGCATAACCCATTCCACCGAAAACAAAATTCTTTGGAGCTACCTTACGAAAAAGGGATTTAGTAAAAGCTCTCAGTTCCACAGAAGGAATTTATTTCAAAAAAAAAAAGTCCACAAAGGAGCAAAAAATCTACGCTCAGGATTTGTACAATCCCCTGAGAAATAAGCAGTTACAAAAATGGGTCTATTTCACTGTTTTTAAGAGAGTTGATTTTTTTGGTCTCTATTCGGATAGACTTCAAAACAAACGTTAACATGCCTTTGCACAACCTTGCATAGCACAATCTTTTATAAATGAACCTTCCTCCCCTTAGCATACATACTTCCCCCCTGCTGAAGGCACCTTTTCAACCTAGGCCAGAAGCAGCCATGAGAAGACACCTTTGCATGGAGAACTCAAAAGCAGGGCAGGGAAATTTCTAACTTGAGAAAGGCTCAGCAGATCCTGATTTGTGTCACCACACCAGCACTAGAGAGCTACAGTACCAAAATTAGTAGTCCCTAATTTAAGCTATTGGATTTTGTTTCTGAAATACCGTATGATAATTTGGAAACTGTTTTTTAAGGAATGTAGTACAATTTTATCTAGTTTCTTTCTATTAAAATTCTTCACAACGCATTCAATCTATCCCATCATTACAGCCATGTATCTGAAGTAACACAAGAGCTAAATAATACGCATACTGAAAAACTTACCAATATATCCCTTATTAGGGGAATCTACTGGGGGTGTGGCAAGTTCCTGCAGAATGGAACAAAATAAAGAGGTGAATTTTGTTCACAAATAGAGTTTCTGACTATTCTGTATGAACAGTCATTTTCTAGCTGGTTATCATTAAAAATGCCTCTTGTAAATCCAATTGTATCAGCCACTTTCAAGTTTTCAGGTATCTGTATCTGTATTTGGCATGAGGGAAAACTCAATACAGGAGGGTAAAGTGATTCATCTCCTGTTTCACAGCAGGAAAGTTGTACACTTTCCTGTTGTAAAAGTCTCACAGATGTAAAGTTGAGGCTAGAAGTCACTCAACAGTCCAGCCACCTAATTACCAATTCATTTATTGATCAACATTCAGTAACTCTTCATTTAGTTTTTAAATCAATAAATAACAAAGACTTTAATTTTGCATATTTCTTGTCCCCCATACACAATACACAACACAAAATACATGTTTTCAGACTGTATAGGTAGGATTAGACAGTGCAATTATATTTAGTTTCAGACCTGAAAGTAACCTACGTGAAAGACTGTAATTGTGTTTGTCTGGCATATTATTGCAGCTCTCCAGGAGATTCATTCTAAAGATGAATGCATAAATTCAAGTAAAGTTAAAATAAAAACCAACCATACCGCTTTAACACCACAAATTACTGTAGTATTTCCTAACTTCACCAGGGCAGAACCATCTGCAGTTGTAATTGAACCTGAAGAGAGAAAGCACTGTTCAATAAAATCTGTTTCTATTCAAAGGGCCTCACCTAACATCCAACTTCACAAAGTATTTACATGATTTAAAAATAAATACAAGCTAAGCAAAGCGTACATGATTTCAGGGTGAGAACAGAACCTCTCCTTCTCTACCAAACAGTCAAAAGACTGGATTATTAACATTTCTACAATATAAGCAAAAGGTTGCTGAATCCGTGATCCAAAATGCGTTACCACTATTTTCTCCCAACATTCTGTCTTAGAATAAGCCTGCCTCATCAGTATCTTGATCCAGTTTTCTCATACATACCATATGACTTTTAGTTCATTAATGCAAATTTGAGGTAATAATTCCTTTTGGATTAGAAGTAGTCAATGGTCTGCTGGATGAAAATGTATATTTTTACTACGCAAACAGATAAAACAGCAAAAGAGAGCTCTAAATACCACAGATCCTATCAACAGAGAACTTTCATAGACTAGAAATCATAGACAGTTAACATAACACCACCATCTGGGTGACTTGCAGCAAGACCTAATGGAAAGGCAATGCTGTTCAGTGGAAGAGACCTACTAACTCCAGTTTGAACAATAACGAGCAGCTTTTCCATGGTGATACGCTAACCTGTACTTTCTTCTCAAAAAGAGAAGTTAATTATACTCTTCAAAAATCATTGCAAGGTCTAGGGAAGGCTCCTCAGGAAGGTAAGGTGCTGCTGCTCACTACATAGCAGGTATCTTGCTTCAGTGAGAGACAGCTGCTCACCAAGCTTGGAACAAAGCAGAATCCAGGAGTCACTGCCTCTCTCAAGATGCTAGAGCATCATACACAGCTTATGTGAGACTTAAGACAAGCACCCAAGCATCCTAAAGCATCCTAAATTACGCTATGCAGATCAGCCCAGAAGTAGACCTGAATAATAGCATTCAAATATATTCCTGCACAATGCATTCTCTTTAACACTGTTTGGAACTACAAATGCAAATCCTACTCCTTTCTTGTTTCAAAATTGAAGCACCAGGAAAACCAATTAGCAAGTCATTAAGGGCACTAACTATAAAAATCTGAGAAAAATAATTAAAAAATCCTATCATTATTGTTATTCCAAATAAGCACTTACCAATGTTGACAGTTGTTGCCCGGAATTCACCTAACTCCCTTCCATCAGGTCGACAGTTCTCTTTCTAAACAAAAATTACAGATTTCAAATTAAAAAACACGTTTCATGAAATAACACACCAACATTTATGCTTCAGGAGTTTTTTTTAATAAAAAGTGTTTGCTTATTTTTAGCAGAAATATGGAGTTACAAAATTGCTAGGGAAAACTCAACCGAGTTTTCCAGCAACTGATACCCCATTTGTGGTTTTAGGCCTGTAATTTTTTAGAAAAATAAATATGTAACAATGAATTGTCTCAAGAGTAAGTGCTAAAGGCTAGACTCAGAAAACCATCCAAGAATGAATAGTACTGATAACTTTAGAAAGTTTCCACCTTTCTGCACTGTTTAGTTTTTGTAGCTTCCCCACCCAGTGGAGCTCTTAAAATGAACACTGGACTGAACCAAAAAAAAAAAAAACCTTAAATATTGTCAGTTAAAAGCTGTCAACAAAACCTGGATATACACATTAAGTTAGAAGCAGCTCCAATTTACCATCATGTTAGATGGGAATGATAATGCACCCTAATTTCAAGCTTCTCCAAAACAAAGACTTCACTTAATGGTTCAATTAATGTATTCTCATAGCTTAATCATACTTTGTTACCTATCTCCCTGCTAACCAGTGTTTTAGAAGGTAAAGAACTCTAGACTAAGCCCTCATAGACAATGAAGCTCCTGTTAATATACACATCAATTCTGCATTTAGAAGAATTAAAGCTGACTGCAATGATACTAGACTCATTTCTTAGTATTATTTCAGTAATGCATAGACTAATATAATATGCATTACCAAAAAAGTCAGTGTTCTTCCTCCATATTCATGGTAAATATGGTTAGCAGCAATAGCTCTATTATTTATTTTTCAGTAACAGCTAAAAGCCCAGCCTGGGATCATTTTGTACTAGAGACAAACCTGGGCCGCTATCTTAGTCAAGTTTAATTCACATTGCTTCCGAGGCCAAAAGTAACATTTACCCATGTGAAGTTGCTCCAGAATGAATGCCACAGACGGAACGCAAAATATGCTGTGAAGAGTATGACCATTTTTCCCCTTAATCAATTTTTTTATTTTTGCATTACAAGTATCAAGATTTCCACAGAGACAAATCAGAAAAGCAAAAGTACATCAGAAAAAAAAAAAAAAAACAGATTACAAGCAATTTACACATGCACATCATGTTTTACTCACCAAAAATCTTCTGTAATATTCCAACGGTTCCACTGTTCTAAAATAAAAAGAAATTGAAGTTCACATGCAAAGTGTCTGGTAACTAAGATATAGCAAAAAAAGAAAAGCAGGCACCTTCCTACAACAACTGTCATTTGAGAATTATGCTAACTAGCAAAGCTGATTAGCAATACAATTATAGCAAGATCAGGAAACTTAACTGATCTAAGATGAGGCCTCCTAAGTTTCAGAAAGCTACCTACTATAATGCATGTATGATTTTTAAAAAGGAGAAAAGGTTTGGAAAAACGGAGAATGAAAAAATAAACATTTTATCTACTTGAAACAAAATGCTTCTGTCTTACAACTAGGGAATCTGCATGCCCATATGCCCATACAAACTAGCTTTCGCCTCAAGAATCTTTTTAAATTTATTATTTAAGTAATTAGTTCTGATCAAAAAGAGTGTTTATTGAGGCAACAGTCTCAAGTGCTTTTGAAGAAATGCTGCAGAAAGGGTAACCTTATCTGATTTATTTTGTTCATTCAATGACTGTATTCAGATATACAAAGCAGTTAAAAAACAATTTATCAGTCTTGAAATGTAATAGCTTTTTCTTAGAACCCTTTTAAATAAAAATATAACATTATGAAATATGCTGTATGCAGTGCTTAAGTTGAGGAATACTTAATGTTTACTATTAATCAGATACTACCAGCACAGCTTGTGTACTAGTATTTCCAGCACAGAACGTCTAAGTAAAAAAATACTTATAGAGGCAGCGTGATATTTGACCAAAGCCAAAAGTTTTGTTCAAACAAGCAATTCTGGAAAAACGCGATTAACTGGGAAAAATTCAAACAAGTTTTCCAAATGCAATCTAACGCACACAGTCATCACAGCTCATGACAACAAACATGAATTAACGCATCAGTCCTCTATATGATAGTCTTCTGCCACTGTTTGTAATGCCAACATATGGCCTATTCTTTTCTGATTCACACAGGGAGCACCTGCTACACCCTGTTTCACGATCATAAGGCAGAAACCTGGAAAGAACAGCGACAGGAAGAATAGTCATAAACCAGCAGCCACTGAATTTCCTACTTTTCCATGTTTTTCGAAATTGTGGCTCTTGTAATTAGTTCCTTAAAGCGATACTGCCAGTACCTCTTCCCTTTCCTGAAGGAGGCTGCCCTCCTCCAGCGCTAACGCGCTGGTCGATGTTTCAGAAGGCAAAGGAAAACACAACGTGTTGGAAGCGGCCTCTGGAGCTTGTACGGTCCCAGGCCTCACTCAGGCTGCTCTGGGCTTTGCCCAGTTGCCTGTCTCCAAGGAGGGAGATTCCACACCCCGGCTGGTTGACCCCCCTTCAACCGCAAAAAAATGTTTCCCAAGTAGCTAATCAAAATCTCCCAAGTTTCAATCTGTGCCCACTGTCTCTCATCCTGTCATCGCCTACCTCTTCTGTCTTCCCTACGAACCAAACGAGAGCAGAAAACAGCAGCTTTAAAAGAAAAAAAAACACACAAAGAGAATACGCTCGATCCCTGTCTCCTTCAGCCGCCACCCTGCGCGGAGCGGCGCGCGCAGCCGCGCGCCGGGAACGGCCCCAACGGCCCTAAC